TACCATGGATGCTGCGCCACCCCAGCGAATATCATCAGGAAGACTAATATCAGGCAGGAACCGTTGAAGGTCCAATGATGGAAGTGGAGGTTGCGAAAAATCTATTACAGAACAGAACACGATGAGTGATCGTTTGAAAAATTGGAGATAATGAAAAATGGAAGTTGATTAAATTTGTATTTTTAGTAATGATAGAGATTGAAATTCTAAAAAACTGTAATAAGTATGTAGCGGAATGAAACTCTGATATAAAAGTTTGAAATAAAACAATTGAAAATTCAGTGATTTTCGATGCATATCAGAGACAATGTTATTGTAATCAAATGTTAACACTTTAACAGTTTATTCCAATTAAAAAAAACATGTATAGCTTTCTAAATTATCGATCATTTTTATTTCCTAATTAAAAATAATTCAAAAGAAATACAAAGAAGCGAACAAATTGAAATACATGATATAAAACTACTTACATTCTTCAGCCACTGGAGAGTCTTTATCGTATTGAGAGATGCACTGACTCTAATACCGGAAACGAATGTTTAAAAGTAAACTGTTAAGATTAAGACTACGTTTCCGCGACTTTAATCAAAATTATCGTGATTTTTAAATTGTGAAAGAAAACTATCGCGTAGCAAACACTGACTCTAAACCGCATTGCGCGCGGTTACAAATATTCCCTGAAAATAAAGCAGTTTAAGGCAGGGTGGGTGGGAGAAGGTAGTGGAAAAGAAGCTAAATATCGTTTCGACAATTTTCTTCTTTTCTTTATCAAACAGTTGCAATGCTGTTTATCAATAGCTTAAATGTTGTTGACTAATAGTTTAAATATTGTTGATTAATATTTTAAATGTTATTAATTAATAGTTGAAGTGCTATAAATTAATAGTCGAAATGTTATAAAGTAATAGTTTAAATGTTGTTGATTAATAATTTAGATGTTATAAATTAATGGTTTAAACGTTATAAAGATAATAGTTTTTAATGTTGCTAATTAATAGCTTAAATGTTATTGATTACTAGTTTGAGCGTTATAAGGCAATAGTTTAAATGTTATAGATTGTTATTGTAATTTGTAAAAACTATTCTTCGATCTTTACGGTACGGGAGACCACACGCAAATGAGCCCGCGCCCGAGTTTCGTGTCGAATGATGGCATATACTTGCGAAGGTGACTGAAGGTGCATCGAACGGTAACGGTTTGCTGTTGTTGTGAAAAGCAGTTTTTCCATTATAACACGATCAAATTTAATAATTTTTTAATTTTTATTGTAGATTGACGCCTTTAACTATTTAATAAATTAGTGGCTTAAATATTATAAAGTAATAGTTTAAATGTTGTCCACTAGTAATTTAAATGTTACGAATTAATGACTTAAATGTTGTTAATTAATAATGTAAATGTTATAAATTAATGGCTTAAATGTTATAATTTAATAGCTTAAATGTTATAATTTAATAGCTTAAATGTTATAAATTAATAGTTTAAATGTTAGAAATTAAAGGCTTAAATATTATAAAGTAATAGCTTAAATGTTGTTGATGACTAGTTTAAGCGTTATAAGGTAATAGTTTAAATGTTCTAGATTGTTATTGTAATTTGTAAAAACTATTCTTCGATCTTTACGGTACGGGAGACCACACGCAAATGAGCTCGCGCGCGAGTTTCGCACCGCATATATACCTGATGGCATGTACTTGCAAAGGTATCTGAAGGTGAATCGAACGGTAACGGTTTGCTGTTGTTGTGAAAGGCGGTTTTTCCATTATAACACGATCAAATTTAATAATTTTTTAATTTTTATTGTAAATTGACGCCTTTAACTATTTAATAAATTAATGGTTTAAATGTTATAAGTTATCGGTTTAGTTGTTATAAATTAATGGTTTAAATGTTATAAAGTAATGGCCTAAATGTTGTTAATTAATAATTTAAAAGTTATAAACTGATGGCTTATGTTTTATAATTTAATAGCTTAAATGTTGTAAATTAGTAGTTTAAATGTTATTAATTAATGGTTTAAATATTATAAAGCAATAATTTAAATGTTGTTGTTTAATAGTTTGTGTTATAAGACAATAGTTTAAATGTAATAAATTGTTAATGTAATTTGTAAAAGCTGTTCTTCGATTAATTCTTTAATTTCTATTGTAGGTCGACGCTTTTAACGATTTACTGCAGTAACCATTTTTATAATTATAATAATTTTTACGAACTAAAATTAAATTCTCATGTCTATGATACTACTTTTTGATTTAGAACTATATTAATTTATATTCAATACCATTTTATGGTGAAAATAATTGTACTATTATAGTCAAACTGTGTAACTATTATAAATTAAGAGCATAATTATTTTTAACCGATGTTCAATTAACAAAATATTAAATGTTCAAAACTTTATTTAATATCTTATATTATAAAGTATATATAGTTCGAATAAAATAACAGACTTACAGTGATATTATCAGAAAAACAGAAGTATCGAAAAACGTTCAATTTCTATCACGTATCAGCAATTATCCTAATTATACTTCTACTTTCTAAATCTATTCTGTTTTTAAAGAAAATTCACGTGGTCGTCGCTACGATCGAACCAGCAATCGTACAGAAACGTTCGGACGATCAATATTTTTTTCGATATTTCAACATTATTTTATCTATAGTATATTACATTGATCAGACGATTTAGTTAGAATCTACAGTATCCTTTTTACGCATATGGTAACGCTGAGAACCTTAAATACCAAAAACGATATTGACAATAATACTGATCGTCCAAACTGAATCGCTAAAAAGCTTCTTTAACTCTTTGCCCCTCTTAACCCACCATACTCTCCTTCATTTGTCATCGAGAACTCGCTCTCGTCAATTGTTACCTCGAAATCGTTCGGCTACGGAATTCCACTGGAAAAGCCGAATGCGTCAAAATTAACGTGACGTTAAGCGAACGAAGCCCCTTAAAAATTCCCTGGTGATCCTCAGAACGGAGGTTTCGGTGATCAAGAACTCTTAGATCAGAGAACGGAGTCGACGATGATCGGCTCTCGTGGAATCGACGACTCGCTGCTGGTCCTCCGGCTCCTTCGACAGTTTTGCGTTCCTAATGCCTAGCTTCCTCGGACGTTTCCTTGGTATTTCCAGACGAACCGAACGATTAATAATGAACATCTTGGGCTTGGTAAGAATCTTTTTATTCTTTCGTTTCTTTCATTGTTTTATTTTCTTCCTTTTTTTCTAAACATTTCCTTGTATCCTATCGACCTAACCTCTATAACCTTTGATTCTATTTCTCGAGAAAAAAGACTCATCGGTACGCAACGAGCGACAACTGAAGCCATGAATTCTAAAACAGCACGTGCCCACCAATCGACGTTTCGATAGTCAGAATCAGTTCTTTTCTTTTCATCTTCTTCGATTCGTTATTAATATTATTAGCTCTCCTTATGAACATTGCTTAGATATGACCTTTTTAACACCGTTAGACAATTATTTTTCTCTTTTTTCTTTTTTTTTTTTTAGAAAAGATTTTTCGAAGATTTGTGAGTTTGTTTTAGCAGATTTGTTTTTTAAAAAGATCAAACTCGCGCTATCGTGGAAAACATCGAGTAAACTTATTAGACTACGTTTGGTCACTTTATTCAAAAAATTATATCGAAAGAAATGATTCTATTAAACCTAATCACTGTCTCAAATTTCACTTTCGAAGTAACCGTTTATAGATTCCTCGGTGTATTCGGTATGTTTGTGTATTAAATTTTCCAAATACGGACGACGACGACGACTTGGATCCACCGATGACAATTCATGGCTTCAATTTCCTCGATAAAGAAATTGTCAAAGAGAATATATTTTCATCAGACGGTGTCTTTCGAAGGTTAATAGCACACTAGATTGGAGTCCCATTAAATGGAGCAACAAGCTCGAACAAATTTGGAACTTGTCTTTATCGCAAGGAACACGTATTTTCGACATTATTGGCGAGGATACAATCAAAACTGGTTAGAGCACCGACGAAATCAACGTCGACAACGCCAATCTTACTAATTCGATATTATTTTCTCTCAACCGATATAGTTCTATCATGGATCGTAATCACGCGAATCGTAATCGCCCACCTATACACGTTCTCCTATATGATCAACCTTTATCCCATATTAACGTCAACGCAGCCGAACCTCCTCTTACCTTGGCTGATCCTTAGCTTTTTTAAAAACGTCGTGTTGGAAGTAATCGTGATAGCCGTTGGCCTTCTGCTTTGGTACGACAAGAGATTCTCCTTGACTATTTTCTTCGAATTCGTCCTCGTAAAGGTCGTCCCTCTGAGTAAGTAAATGCTGCAGTAAAATACTTGCTCGTGTCGATTTCTCGAAATACCTTGCTACGCGGAACGATCGAAAGAAAGCTTATCCATAGATTTCCACTTTCAGACATGTCATCCAATCGCCATTTCGTTTGCCAGTCATTTTCAGCTACGTCTGGTATTCCAATTCCTGTCTGTTCCTTGAACAGTGTCACATGGAAAAGATGCGAAAACTGAAGAGAATGAGAAGCGACTCGAACCTAATCGTCGGTCGTCTGTACATAAAGTTGGCTGATTCGAAGTATAGGACGCGGTCTTTGACGACTTTGTTATCCTGCGAAAGCTACGAGACCTACGAGACGCACGACACCATCTCGCGGATCATCGACGATCCCAATTTAACGCCAGCTCAGAAAACCATGAGGATTCTTGGGCTGACCGATCAAGACGTCGCCGATGCGCGTACCAGGATCAAAGAAAGGGAAATTCATAAAAAGTTGACGGAATTGGAGGACAATTCGCTAACAAGCAGCACCAAAAATATGTCTCTATACTTCTTCGATAAATACGATTTCAACACGCTGAAAGATTTGCGGAAGGTGAAAGACGGACGAACGAAGGATCGCGAAGATGAAGTTACGACGGACGAACGTAAGGAGGATGAAACTCCGATGGATGAACGCAAGCAGGACGAAATTGTAATGAATGCACGCGTGGAGGAGCAAGTCGCGATATATGGATGCAAGGAGGATGAAACTACGGTGATGGAAGGTAAGGAGAACGAGCTGACGACGAGTGAAACTACGGAGGATAAAGTTACGACGGATATCATTTTGGTAAGTTTTGGTAGCTTGCTTCTTTCTTTTTTCTTTTATTACTTTCAGTAAAATAGCTCTTGTTGAAAATATCTTCCGTTGAAATCGATGAAATATCGAATAATCTTCCGATCTTGGAACGCTACCGAATGATCTTTCGATAACTCTCATCAAACGTTTTGTATAATCTCTGTGAAATCTTAAAAAGATGGCTTAACCACGTTTGTCGCAATCTGAACAGCCTCTATGATTCTCGATGTAACTTTCATAGTCGTATTTTCCCGATATACGTAGAAGTTACAGGATAAATTCGTACAAGTAATATGTTTCACACAGGCCATAAGAATATTTTTTAACAGTCAATTATTCGTTATATCAAGGAATCTGAGTATTCGATGGAACCATCGTTCATAGTAATTATACGTATATTTAAAACAAATCACCTTATACATAAGACTTTAAATGTTAATTTAGAGCAATCCACCTACGTCCTCGATGAACGTCCTTCTCGAACAGTCGCTAGATGATCGATCTATATGTTCGGAGAAGACAAATCCATCGGTGGAGCAACGAAGTTCATCTGGAATGAAGAGAGTAGCAGCAGACTGCTTGGAAAGGAGTTGCGCGAAGCAAATGAAACTGTATCCATCGGATCGTGCGGAGGACTCGAATCAGAGCGACTCTTTATCGAGAAAACAGGACTCGTCTCAGTCGAATCTCTCCCATTCGAGACACGCGAGACGAAGCGTAGAGAAAAGTAGCAGTCCTGTGAAACTGCAAGCTCTGTTCAATTGCAATTGCATCGTGGACGAGTATTTGTACAAAGCGAACGCAGAGGAGTATTGTTTCACGAACGGCGGCACGATGGCGACTTCCACGCCTAACAAAAGTATCGACGAGAGCAAGATGACGAGAAGCGCGGAGAAGAGCGACTTTGATAGCTCGAAATCGACGATCTATCACTCGTGCTTGGACGACGCCAACGACGTTGATCGGAGTCAGAATCAAAAGACAGAAACTACGACGAATAACAGTTTACTTTTGATACGGGAATTGTTACAAAATGATCTGAACATATTAAGGGATGTCAAGAAGCACAACCAAAAGTTGGAGAATGGAAGTTTGATGTTAGACGATAAACCCAAGCAGGATATTTTAAAGATTTCGGAGAGCGAATCGAGTGTCTTTCGGAAATTGTACGTAGGACAGTGTAACACGTCCATTGGCATTCAAAATTTATCGGACATTGTGAAAGATTTGAGCGTGGCCCGGAACGTGGTGACCAATTTGGAAACCTTGAGGACCGTCCAATCTGATGAAAGTGGAAGCAAATTGAAGAATGAAAATGAAATATTAAAGATTATGGTTCCTACGACCGCCATCGACGACGGTACGCGTCGTTATACTTTTACAACTCTATTTAAAATTTTCATTTCTGTCGAAGAAATGTCTGGTCTGACAAGTAATTCTATGTGTTTTTTTTTTTAGACGTAAGTTCCGCGCAGAGGAGCAGCTTGAGTCCTGGCAAGCCGAAGAAAACCAAGAAAAACGTATTAAAAGTAAATGCACCTGAATATTCATTCGGCGACGCTAATATTCCAAGGTTCGTCAAGGACTCTATGAAGGTTTTCGACGGCTGTTATGAAAAGGATTTCGCCAATAACTCGGAGCTGCAGTGTATGCTTCAGCAATTGGAGAAGAAGAAATGGAGTATATTCCCTGGTCAGCCTAACCAAAACGTGTCAATACCATCTACTTTCTTAAAACAGAACGATCAACATTATCCATCGTCGGCGTCGCAAGACTTGGGAATCGTTGGTTTACCTATTACCCATTTCGACACAACGAAGAGGTAAGCAAAAGTTTTCAAATTAAGCTTGATCGTTGCACAGTGAACGCGTTACGTAAAATTGGTAAGACACAAAATTGTTTCTTAATAGACGACTCGAACGACTAGATACCTTCGAATAGACGACCTTCTTCTAAAATGTTTCTATTGCCTCCATCAGGTACGAGATCTCAGCATCTACCTCCTCCAAGGAAACCGACGAGCATGTCGCTTCTGAAATCGTGCCAGAGAACATGCAATCCCTCGACGACGATATTTCCGTATTAAGCGATATTCATAAGCCTGGTATCTCAAGCTTCACGAAGGACGCCCACACGCAAAGTGACAACGACGACCATCAAGATCTGCCAAGAACCTCGAATCTCAGTGAGAAACACAGGAAGATGTTCTTAAAACGTAAATGCCTGAAAGAACAATCGAGAAGCGCTTCTCCGATCGCGAATCTTCACGAACGTAAGATCGAATCGCAGAACTCGGTTGGAAAAGACCACGGCAAGCCTCCTATACGTCAAAAACCAATGAAACTTAACGACAATCAGAGGAAACCAGCTGGCTTAACGAAATCCGTATCCGACAGAAGCGTCTGCGATTGTAAAACGTGCCAGAAGGACAACAAATACTCGATTTTGACAGAATCGAAGTTGGACAAGAGGGGCGAGAATAAGAGATGCACAGCGAAATGCAAAGTAGAGACTTTCGGCACGATTCCTTTCTCGCAGGTTGTGCGCCCATCGATGTTCGATTCGATGGTCTATCGCAGAAAACCTCCGGTGTATCCTAAAAAGGCCAAGAACGAGCCTCCCGCGCAGCCTGACGCCTCCAGTGTCGCTAATACGAAGAAGACGTCGCCGTTTAAGGAACTTTTAGAACCATCCAAGAGGCCAGCTGATAAGCAATCGAGCCACGGTTCGAAGAAATTCAAATGGAAGAGGAGAATGGAATCGCTGGAAGAACAGGAAGCTCGAGAGATGAAGGCTCTAAAAGCATACAACGAAGTCACGTTGCTGAAGGACAAGAAGGAATTGGAAGCTAAGAAGAAGCTGCTTTCAGGAAGAAACTTGGCCACGGTTGGTCCTGAAAGCCTAAAGAATCGAGGTTATCCGAGGAAGAACAACCTGGAACGTTATAAGAAAAATATTCCTCGAAACGTGGAAACGACGTACAACGACTGCTTCGACAAAGAGAACTTGTTAACAGACGCAACCACGGAAACGGAACCACTGTCGAATCTTCCATTTATGGACAATAAAATGCAATTCGCCGCGCCTGCAAGATTCTTCGATGTTCCACATGAAAAATACTCCTGTTCGAAGTTGTCCAATGCTAATAAGGTCACGGACAAGGTGTTGAATAACTTTGGTAAATCGCATGCTGAACAGGTGAAGCAGGACGCGAAGAAGAGCAAGCAGATCCTTGGTGAGACGGACACCAGGAAGCAACACACAAAGTACAGTAAACCGAAGAAGTCGATGGACGAGGAAAACGTTTCGATAGTTTCGATGAAGAAGTTGGAAGGTGTGCAAAAAGGTCGCGATTTAGAGAGGACACCTGCTAAAGAGGATGTCAGGAGTCGCTTAAAAATTTCTGCAGAGTCTTCTGACACGGATCGACTGGCTGAGCTTGATTCTCGCGACTCTCAAAGTCGTGCGAATATCGCCGTATCTTTCGTTCAGAGCGATCACGACAAAGTGACCTCGACTTTTGTGGATGGCAAAGACTTTGGTGCGCAAGTTGGAGACTTAACGACGTTGATTAAGCCTACGGCAACTCAAGACGTTGCTTCGTCGTGGTCTTCCAGCATCATCGAGCGACAGGATGAATCATATTCTCAGAAGCGAGGTAAGAATTGTTTCAAAATTTCTAAATTCCTTTCTAACGTGATTCTACCATGTATGTGTAAATACTTCTCGTAACCTGTACATTAAAAAACCTTGAAGACATTTTATTGGAGGAGATTAAGCAAGTACTAGCTTTTTCTAGATGATGCGAACACTCAGACGACCCAATTCGAAGCAACGACGCTCAAACTCGAGAATTCTAAAGAGAAAGATGCATTTGAAGCTGAGAATGTCGAGAAAGAAGTTGTGCCAGTATCGGAAACGGAGGTCCAGCCAAAGAAAGCTGAAGCAATATTGGAAGTAACAAACCACGAAAAGGAAGTTGAACCGACGTTGGAAACGGAAGACCAACGAAATGAAACTGAGTCGATACTGAAAGCTGAAGACCAAAAACAGGAATTTGGATCGATATTAGTAACGGAGGACCTCGAAAAGGAAGTTAAACTAGTATCAGAGACGGAGGGCTATCAAAAACACGCGATCGAAGCAGATAAAGAAGAAGAAATCAAAGATTCTGCAGTCTCGGACGATAGTCTTGCAGAATATCTTCCAGAATCTATCGATGACGAAAAAGAAAGTCTTCAAACCGATGGAATAGCCGATGAAATAACCGATGAAATTCGAAGGTATAGCTCCGAAGTATCACAGAATGAACCTGGAATAACTTCAAGAAGAATATTCACGAATTTATCGGATTTCACAAGGAACATCAACACGAATTACGTGGCTGACGGCGTCATTCTAAGTAATTCGAACGCCCCGAGAGAAAACAACACTCCTGTATGGGATATCGTAGACGAGGAGACCATCAGAAAGCTGTACAACATGTTTTCCCATCGATCTGTAAACTCTACTTTCGATTTGCCCGGAGAAATCCAAACAGTGGATGACATTTTAAATAACAGACAGTCAGAGTCATCGATAGACGATTTTATTTTTCAGTCGGATAGATATTCGACGAATCTTTCCATGTTCGAGCACACCATCTTAGCTACCATTCGACCACTTCAAACTTTAGAAGAGGAAGAAAGTCACACAGGTTCTCTTTACGATCTATGTATCACTACCATGGATCAAGAAGGTTTGCCTATCAGTTTCGAAGTGGAATCTCTGGAAGATCTCGTGGACGAAGTCGAACATCCAGCCGCCAATAGACTTGGGTTAAACGATGTTGTAATCCAAGTGACTCGGTTCCTGAGGAACTTGAACTTCCGCGGATTCAATCTGGAAAACCTTTCCGGCGTACTGGAGATTCTTCCCGAGCCAGTGGACGATGACGAGAATCGGATAGAGTTCGAGATCGACGAAGAGGACGAAGAAAAGGATGAAGAGATGGAAGAATGGCCGATAGAGGACAGAAGAATATTAAAATTCATTAAAGAGGATTGCTTAAGATTCATCAAGGAAGATATTTTCACGGACATGAAGTTCCCCATTGTAGTCAAATTAAGCGACGTGATAGGTGACGATTTGGCTACCTCTGACGAAGAGCCGGAAGAACTTCACGTAGTGCTTGAACAGGCAGAACCGAGTAAAATAAATTTGTTCTCTTTAACGGATGACAAATACGAAGAAGGTAATGATAAAATTGAAGAAACTGGTACGGAGGAAATGGAGGAAGAGGACGAAGATGAAGAAACGACGTTAAGAAGCGAATATTTCAAGATGTTGCAGAAGATTCAAGGAACGATGTTTACAGCGTTTCCCTCAAGGCCAATCGTGAGCGTCAGCGACTACAACGCTGCTGATAGTATGTTAAACGAAGAAAGAATAACTACTTGTTCGGAGGATGCATCTTTAGACGAGGTCGTCACGAAATTTATGAGCAATTTGAAGAAATACATACTGAAACGTTCGGAACCTGTGCAATTCCGTAGACAAAATTTAAATCAAACCTACGAAATATTGGACAAGACTGACACGGAAGAAGAAATCAAAGTTGAAGAAAGTATCGACAGCGAGGAGATGGAAGGACAAATTGAACAAATTACTACGATCGAAGATGTCGAAGAGGTCGACGAAAAAATAACGACAAAGCAAAACAAAGTAGATGTTACGTATCAAGTTACCGAAGAAGACATGCTAGATACAAGAGTCGAGGAATATGGAAATGTAAGTTGGAAAGAAATCGACAAGGCCGATCAGAATATTCAACTGATCGAATTCGAGAGCGAAGCGAACGAAAAGATGCAAAGATCGATTCGCGAAGAAACGTTCGAACGCGACGAAGACGAGTCTCTTGAAAAAATAAAATTTAATAAGATCGATGGGAACGAAGAGTCAGATTTCGAAATTGATGGAGAGGGAAACGTGGAGCTGAAGGAAAAGTTATCCTTATACACCATCTTCACATTTCTGCTGGCCATCTCCTGTTTTTATCTGGGATACTACTACCGGAAGATCTTCTCGTTTAAACAAATTTCAACGTCCACGTCGGCCTTGAAACCTTTCGAGATTCACGCAACGCCAACTTCGACGACCACGTTCTTTGAAAATTCGACGCTGATAAAGGAAACGAAGGAAGAAAAATATGAAGAAACGGAACAGGAGGAAAATGACTCGTTCGAGAGAATCGTCGATCTTGAAACGATAGAAATTTCTCAATTCACCAAATACGATTCGGAATTATATTTGGACTCGATTGAACTCGAAAACGAGGTTGGAGAATCTGTGTCGCTAAGGGAACGAATTTTAGAAAAGACAGAATTGCAAGAAGAAGCAGCGGAAATTAATTCTGAAAATGTCCGAGTGCGTTCAAACTCACAAATACACTCGGCTTCCCGATCGACTGACACGATTGGGAGTGCCAGCATTAGCAAGCTCGATATTCGTGCGAGCGAACCTCCGTTCATCGTTGAACCGAATAAACTTAAAGAAGATTCGATAGAATTGCGCCTGGCGGAAGAAGAAATCGAAACCTTCAGATATAGAGAAGACGATGACTCCGATTCATCGAAGTCTCTATCAACGCGTGACGATGAAACCAAATTACTCGAGGCACAGATGAATCTATGTGCAAAGGTGCTAATAGAAGAAAAAGAGGAAATGTTAAATGCGGAAAAACTTCGAACGAGCAGCTGTGGAGCAAAGTCGAAAACATCTACTTCCGAAATTCAGAAAGAAGATTGCGAGCAGTCGAGCAAGAAGGAAGAAGAAAAGGAAGAACGCTCTGTGGTTGATCAAACAGATGCCGAAGGGATCATTTTTTCGAAACAAGAGGTCGAGAAAAGTAAGGCGTCCACGGAACAAAACGAGTCCTCGAGTTCGCCTCAAATTTTGGAAACGACCGACAGTTTCGATTCCACGTACACGAGAGCTTCCGAAACGTCGAGGAACGCCACCTCTATTGTAGATCTCAACGATTCCTCGATGGAAGAGTTCGTAATCGCTTCGAACGAATCGATTATATCGGACAAAGAGAGCGGATGCAGTTGAGTAAAAAACGTCCGTCTCGATCTTTCCGTAATTTTCAGGTTCTTTTTCTTTTTTATTTTTTTCGCGATATCAACGGATTTTAATCTCGTATGAACTTTTTCTTATTTTTAAGGAACTACCGGAGAAGATTCTTTTTTTTCAAAAAGAGTGAGGCTTCTTTTATTTTGCTTTTTGTAAAAAACAATCGTTGAGATTCCTTTTTTCTTTTTTTCGTTTTCTCTTTTCTTTTTTTATGAAGAGAAATGGCGTTGCAAGAATAGACGTTCATGCCGATATCGTTGTTCGAAGATACCGCTCTTTTCGTTTCTCCGGTTCGAAGACGTCCGATTTTGCGAGAAATATTGTTCCGTTTATCATTTGCAAGAAATAGAACGTCTATCGCTTGAATTTTATTTATTTCGTTTCTTATATTCGTACTGATTAGCTTATATTTGCGTTTTACAAGTGGCACGATGTTTTTTGAACGACAAATATTTCGTGATAAGTGAAATTTTTTCGTCGACTCGCAAGTATTATTCATTTCTAACGAATAAACAATCGTACTTTAAAGATATAATTTTCCCTCGAAAAGTATCTAAGTCAGCTTTCGTCTGTTTAAAAGAGAAAATAATCACAAGGACAAAGTCTTGACTAAAACGTTCTAGCATTAAGACATGGAATACACCGCGAAATCTTGTCAATTCCGAGTTTATCAATCCGAATATTGATTTAACTCGGACAGCGTTCCCAAACGAGGTTCATTCAATTCCACCGACCTTTTACCCCGCTCTCTTATTGTATCACTCAACAAGCTTAATATACTTAATTAAATACAGTTCCTGTTTGCCCCTGACATCTCTTTACTGACCGCTTAATCGTTCAATTAAGCGTCACCGATTTTCCATTTCTCTGCACCCTTAGATAAATCGTTATACCTTCCTATAACATTCCAACTTTCAAATTTAGTAATTTTCAAACTTTCAAATGCCCCAACCTCCTCCACGAACTTCCAACCATTCTGCTAAAACGTTTTTTCCCTCGCACGATTCTCTCTTCTTCGCTATTCCTGTATCCAACGATCGACCACCCTTATCAACTCGTCCGCCGATCATCCAAATGTTGCACGATCGCAGCTTCGATTCGCGATTCTTCGCTCGCTACGTTTTACCCACGTTTGTCATTTCCGTGGAAAGAAAAGAAAAAAAGAAAACTGCACGTGACGGCGATCGGTTGGCACGGGGTGAAGCGAAGAGGAGAGAAACCGATCGGCGATCGGCCGCGGCGCGATGTTGTGTTGGTTAGCCACCGGTGTAGATGTAGGTATATGCGTCGTAGGTGTACAACTTCGCGGTCTGCCGCGGCGGCGCGCGTACTGTTCTTGGCACAGTTTCTGACCATCTCCTATTGCGAGCGGACCGCGCTGGACCTAAGCGTAATTTCGTTGCGCCTCGCGGCACCCGACTTTCTTCCTCATTCGCCCCGACGTACCTTTCTTCCGGTCTTCCTTTCGGAACTCGCGCGCTCGATCCTCTCGAGAGAACAGCGATCTTTCAAAAGTGAGTAAATCGAACGAACGTTTCGTTCTTTCTTTTCTTATTTTTTAAACGAGACAGTCAGTGAAAATTCGTTTGTCATCGGCGTCTTTTATAACGTCGAGATGGTTGCACGTTGACGACGTGTAAAAAGCAGGAAGAAGGGGAATTCAAATGTATAGAGAGGAAGAAGACACGTAACGAGAGACGAGCGAGAAGTGAAGGTGAAAAGTTTGCGTTGATTTCGATCTTTTTGGTGAACGGAAGTTGAAGTTCGAGGAGATGATTCCGGATAAAAGTGATCACGCACGAAGCTCTCTTTAGCGTCGTAGATTTGAGTTAGATTCTTCTCGTCTTGTAAGTGAGTAATACGAGAAGATTTGTAAATGTGTGAAAGGGTTTGAAAGCGACAGTTGCGGGGGAAGAAAGTAGGAAGCTGAGGATCGTAGGTGGCGGAAAGTGACGTACCGAACGCGAGCAGTTTTTAGTCGATGTTTGGTAACCTCGAGTGGTAATTAAAAGCGCTTGAAGCGGTGTAATACTTTTAACAAACGTAACTCGATCCTGAGCTACCGCCGGATTATTTAAATCCTTGGAAAACAATTTATTAAAATAATCGTTTCGTTATTTATTTCTCCTTTTTGCTCGATAATTTCTTTCCTTCTTAATATAATACTGAAAAGTTTATATTTCTTAACGAACAAGTTCTTTTTCCTTTGGCGTAAACAAATAAGTGAACAAATGACAACAGACGATTATAAAATCAAAAGAAATACAACGTTCAAGTTTCAAGGTTGCAACGTTTTACGATGCACACTCGATAATTTTTGCTATCGTCGTAGAAACGTGTTTTTAAATTTCGTAAAAATTATTTACAAAGGAACAATTCGTTAGCTCGTAAAAATTCCACCAAAAACTCGAACGAAGGACAGACAAGCTCGTACGATAAGCGAAAACTATCCATCACCGTGGTAATTGACGATAATCGCGGCGAATTGTATAATCGGCCAAGTGAGCGATTTCTTCAATTTGCTCGTACGATGAAAATGTATGGCGAATACGCGAGCTGCCGCGACAAAAATTGTTACGGGCCTGTGTTTAGCATAGACCGCGAAACATGTGCAAATAACGCACAAAATTCTTCTCGCCTTAGGAAAAGGCACGACTCTTCGTCGAGATAGCAAATCTCCATGGTAAACACACCCGGTAAACTTTCGAATTTTTTCATTTTCATATCACCTGTGTTTTCAACTGTAAGATACATTGTAATCTTGTGATTCACGATGCAATCGTGTGATTCACTGAAAACAGACGTTGAGACAGCGTTGAACAATTGAACGAGTTTCCTTTTCCTTCCGTAATGTACGAACAGATCGCAAAGATTAATTTTCGAACGCATTGACAATTTCCAAAATATCCACAACATAGAAACGTCGCCCCAAAACGTATTAATATAGAAGCAAAGAGAAATCAGTGTTTTTTTTCTTCTTTTTTTTTTTTTAAATATCGTTGTAATCTCGTCTTGATCTAAGTTTCATCGTCAGCAAGCAAACGTTTTAATTCTACCGAACAAAACGAAAGGTCTGCAAAAGACAAGTAACGCTCGGATTACTGAAATCGAGACGAACATCCTGGATGCAGCATCGTCCGGTTCAAACGTATCTCTGTTCTCTCTATTCTCGGGAAAAGCTTGTTTTTATAAAACCATTTACCGTATTGTCGTACGAGTTCTTTCGCGTTATCGCCGTCCAGACAGACATAGTCTGTATAGTTTATCTACATCGGGTTATAGTCGCCACTGGCGGCTGCTAAGATCTCTGAAAATTTTCCTCATTATCGACCAACTCGTCTAATTATCGAAGAATAAGTTGCAAAAAATCACGTGAACTTTGATAACTGAAATAATCCAAACTACGCGAATGTCACGTCGTTGTTTTCGATACTCCCGCGTATTTAACATTCTTTCAAAACAGAAACGTTTCATAACGCGATTCGCTCGCGGCCTCCTTTTCTGTCGTGTTTTATATTCCTCGTTTATCCAATTTGTATTTTCTTTTTCTTTTCGTTAATTCGAGAGTATATTAAACTGTATGCTTTCCAATAATATAATATTAAATAATATTAACGTTAGCGCTATCAATTTATAGTAATGTTTCGATAAATACATGTTGCATACGTCTTATACTGTAGTTACTGCTAAATAACTATAATTGAAATGGTGTAATGAAAATAAATAAGTATGTATAATTACGTTTTCCATCTCGATAAAAGCATTTCAACAATGCAGAACAAAATATTCAAAATCCATTCAGTGGATTTGACGAATCTACTGCCGATATTATTTTATTAAATCCTATGTTAACGATACTGAATTTTATCGATGTACGTAGTTCGTCACTCGACGAGTCAATTGATAGTGAAGAATAAGCTTAAAATAATAGCGTAGCGCCTCGAGCCTCGCTACACTTACAACCCTTCTATCCATCTGCATTTCTATTTTCTTATCTACTCTGATCGTCCGAGACTATCAACGAAAATAAAGACCAAAGCAAAGGAAGAAAAAGGAACTCGGTTGTGAGTCAGAGAAGCTTGAAAAAATAAACATATTGGTGAAACACGAGGGAAAAAATAGAGTGGCTTAACGGAGGTCTGAAACAAACGGAGGAGTGATTCGCGAATGGACCACGAAAATCGTAGTCAAGAAGCAGGACGATGGTGGCGGCGGCGAGAGAAAAGTAAAAGGAGGCCAATAGTAGCGTTCGCGACTGTGAACCATGAAAACACGTATGCGAAGTGCGCAGCAACTTGTCCAACTATACAGACGTGTATTATGAATATGCGAATAGTATAGATCTTCGTCGACTACTTTGTGAAGCTCTTAACCTGTTGATCGACGAAGACCGAGCCAACTTGTCGTTCGAATTGCCAATTTCTCAAAAGAATTAATTTCGTTACTTAGGAATCGGGTCGTTGACATTTCTCTTGTGGCCTTTATTCGCATTTATTACCATTAAAAATGACGTAAATGAAATCGATGTGTTTTTTATCGATCGCGTTCATTCTTGGTCGAAGGATCCGGTTAAGCATCGAAAGATTCGATTCGATCGAAATCGAGTAACGAAGAATTTAGTAACGACGCGTGAGAAGGAAACGTTTCTGTTCTTCTCGTGACTAAAGAAATTAGAACGCAACATCGAGCATGAAAGGCGATCATTTTTCTTGCTTCCTTGGCGAACGCGGAAGACGATTGCGAAAGTATCGACACGCGACACACGATATCGGTATTCCGCGAACGACGTTGCACCTGACTTGGAGGCCGCGGTGGATGCTGTACACATAACGCACCTTTGATAAACATCTGAATGTTAAATTCTAACGACGACATTCAAATGCGAATCGCCGTCGTTACGTCCATTGTGTAACGTTCCAATGCGTAAACGCCTATATAATAAACTTTTTATCGTTGTATTTCTATGTATCGCGATTTTTCTATCGCGAAGAAGCCGCGAATAAAAAGCTGGCGCGATATCGATCCTCTGATATCCGTTTCACGGAGGGACAGCGCCCTGATCGAAGAAAAGGAAGCTCCGCTAAGTAACTGGTGCGCCCTTTCCACTCTTTCGATTAATGTATCTGGGTCAAGAATAATTGAGTAGGCGCCGCGTAAACACGCGTATCAAGTGGTTTTCTATTTCTTTTCGGTCGATTAGCACGCGTGCTCTGCCTAAATTTAACGGGGACCCCACTCGTTCCACACCACCGCAATTTTGTCTTCTGTTCGTTCAACGTGATCAGCATTAGGTACGCTTTGGTAGATAACTGAAGACAATTTCTTCTATATGACACTCTTTTATACTTTCGAAATTACGAAGTTAATCGAGATAACCTCTGAGAATGGCTCAATTGCGAAAAGCGATTCCGAGAATTTGCTTAATACTGTTCTCGTTGTTATCTCTATTTATAAACTGTATCTTTTTCACCTACGACCCCCTTTCGTGTCTCCGATTTATAAAGTACACTTCTGTAACGTGTCCATTGTTTTAATACACTTTCTGTATTTTGGCAAAATTTCTGACGCCACTCTTACACGCTTCGAATTCAGAGCAACGCGGTGTCGCCGCTTGACTCAGCAAACCTCGACTTAACACGGCGATCATTAAAACATTCTTTCTTAATTAAATATCAAAGACACCGGATACCGGTGAGCCACGTTTCCTAAATCGTACTTGAAAGGAAACGTTGTAACCCGCCTTCGTATCCACGAGCGAACGCCTTCTCGTTGAAAACAGCCTCTCGAGGCCGAGCATGATCTCTCTCGCTCGATGATGCAACCGTGTTTTTTTGCAAGGAATACGACGAACAGACCGACAAAGTCGCTCAATGCAAGCGTCAGAATTCGCGATTTAATCTTCCGTAATCGTTTCCTTCTGCATTTCCTTCGCCAAACGGACTCGTGGCACGAATGTAATTAAAAGCGATAAACGAGGTCGAGGTATCGCGTCGCGATGAGGTAATAAGTAATGAGCATAATGGCGATTTTACCACAGTTTTGCTTTTTTCGCAGAATGCTCGGTTCACCTCACGCGACCTTATTTCGTGTGTCATCGCTGTTTATAGACTGTGCGCATAGTTGCGTGCAAATGTTATTATTCCGCTAACGAATTTACGCGTTGGCGTTTCTTCCAATCGTTCTCTCTTTTTATTCTTTACGATCTACGTACGCGATAAAACGGAAAATTACGACACGTTTCGATCGAATCTTTATCGGTGATTTGCACTTTTAGCTTGGCTAGAGAATTAAGAAAACAGCTTCTTCGTCGAAAGTTTCGTCCAAGCTACGTCGGATAACGCATAATCGCCGTTTTAATCGTTCAACTTATTCGAACAAACTTATCCAACGATAGAATAAACGTAACGAGTCAATTCGATGCTGCTGTCAACGCGTGACCGCAGTCACGTTACACGTGGAGGTGTTAAAATTTCATTTGAAATTTGTCACTTCTTTATACCATAGTAAAATGTACAATTGCTAAGTTAAAACAAATAGAATGAAACGAATTGAAAGAAGCGTGAAATTATGTTATTACGCGTTATAAAAGGCCTAAGACTTTGAACAGCACGCCAAGTTCCATTCAGGTCGAGGTCTTCTTTAATCGTGTCTTCGCGTAGTAACGTTATGAAATTAGCAAAAAATGGAATCGATCGAAATAGCGCCTGAAAGACTCGTATAATTCGTTTATTTATCTATTCTGCTGATAACGTTCCTTCTATCGAGCCGTCCTTATAGCTATTTTCCAGATCGAATTAACTCGTCGTTCTCTGTTCCATTGTTCCTGGGACGCGTCCTAGGAATCGTCGATGAAGGAATCGATCGCAGAGACGGCCAGGTCGTGTTCCGTGTCGTTTAATGGTCGAATAAATCACGGATTCGTGCGTTCTGAAACCGAGACAGAAGCGGAGCGAGCGAGGAATCGAACGGTGGCCAATGTCAACCGACTGGTTCTTCATAGACGACGCGTTTCCTTTTTGCACGAGGTGAACCAGAGGAAATACGGGAACAAGGGATCGAGAAGCGTTTCCTTATGGGGCCCGACAGACCTCGACGATGCTTCGTGTTCGCCATGACCGTCACGGCCGCTCGTATGACTCGTATCGACCGATCTCACGGCGATCTCCTTTTCCTGTCTCTCCGACTTCTTTTCTTGCTCTTTTAAACGATACCGAGCGTCGTTTGTTAATTACGATTCATCAGTGTCGCATCTTCTTAGTTAAAAAACAAACGTAACGATAAACCGGGTGGTTCTGTCGATGCTAATACGAATTTAACGAACGAAATTTTTCCAATATTTTCCACACTGACGGTTGATCTTTTCCTCTCAGAGAAAAAATTAATTTCATTTCCAAGGAAACGTTAATCGGGCTAAAGAAATACGAAAGAACAGAATTCAAAGATATTGGTAATTTATTTGATCGGGGTAGTTCTGAAGAAGCTTCCTATGGTCTGGCGGCCGGATACGACAGCCTGGTGGAATAACAAACGCGGAAAGAAAGGTCAGCACCGGATAGGCCGAAGAGACGAACCGGCGAACAAGCGAAAATAGATCTGGCCACCTATGCCAATGACCCATATTCCCTCTATTCTCGGCGTGCCACGAATTAAACTTCGTCGTTTTAATGCCACATGTTAGAGATCGTGACCATCGTCGTTGGTGTTCTTCGTTTTCCTCTCATTTCTGTCGTTCCCCTTCCATTAAGTTCCGCCGCATAATCCTCTTGCTCACTTCGCTTCTCTCTCACGTTGGCATCTCTTCGGAAAAGTGCGGAATAAAGAAAAAGCATCAAAGCTGAATCGTATCGAACGCTAGATACACTCGAAACAAGAATCAGCTACGACTCTACGTTTATTTATAATTCGCGATACATTTCGTACAACAATTCGCGTACGCTATACATCGGCGTTTTGATAAAAATCGTCGTCCTGCGTTTTGACAATGCGACCAACTATCGAGTGTGCCCATTCACACGGGCGCAATATTTAGAAATTTCTACGTGACGCTCAGACTGAAATAAAAATGACTAAAGTGAAGTATAATACGGCGTCAAGTTCGACGTAATATCAAGGATGTTAATGCGTTGGTCACGCCACGTGGATATGCAAACGTTATAATTGATGCCGAACGGCGCGACTGTTCGCAGAATGGAAAATGAAACGTTCTGTGACATTTAATTCGATAAAAGCAGCTTGTTGGAGGAACTTGAATCCTTGAGTCGCGATCCTCCAAATTTGTTACGTGACTCGATGCCGCGTGACTCAACGGCGGTTGATTGGAGAAAAACTTCGAAATTCCCACCTTTTACCATTCAAATCCATAATTTTTCTTCCGTTCCACGACTTTCGAATAAAATCTCTTAATATTCAGCTACGCGAAAAAAGCACCGAGACAACAAGAACGAGAAATTGGTTCATCAATCGGCTTTAAAAATACGCGAGCACCAGTCAGATTCTAATTCTACTCGTGATCTAAATTCTATCAGAGTGGTTGCTCGACATTTGCGGCAAACAACAAATCGATAGAATAATAATTAAGAACGCTCTGTGTCCTTTTGCTTTGCAAATATAGTTTAAATTGTTCTGTTCCTTTTCAGAATGCAACTCACGTCGTGTTGCGGATGTTACTCGCTAAAAGCGGGAACATTGTTCACCGGAATATTGGGCATCGTAAGTACTTATCGGAACGAAATACCTAAAATTAGTAATTTCGTAATTCTATTTTGTAATTTTAATTGAACGAAAAAATCGTTTCTATAGGGTTAAATTATTCGTTTCGTTGCTTGTTAGATTCTATCGATCATCTCGTTGATTATGATCTTTACTCTGAACGTCGAATGGAAGACGATACTGATCGACGTGCTGGACCAGAGCATCGTTAAAATCATCTTCGCGATAAACTTGTGCATGACAATTTTGATCTCGATGCTGCTCATAGTTGGCGCTATCAAGGTAAAATCGTTTCTCCATCGATTCTACAAAAATCGTAAATCGTATTCAATTTTTCTGATGTCATTCGCTCGATGCTGTTTCGTCCGATATAATTAATTGTATAAATCGAAAGCGAAAGGAAAAGTGAGAAAATTGTTTTATTATAGAAAAACACGTTTATGATGCTACCATGGGTAATTCTGGGCTTGATGTTAGCAGTCGGTTTGTTAGTGAGTGTCCTATACACATCCATAATGTTCTTCGTGAATCACGCGGCAATAAATGGAATTCTGTGGCTCGTCATTGGCCTTATAGCTGTCGGTGAGTAGCTAATGAATTATAAATACCTTTGCATTCTACAATCTTGACATTTATAATTCTTTTCAATTTTATTTGGCATATTCAACGGTTACGAGGATATTTACGAAATGTTAAAAAACTCGTTATGTTAACGCTTCGAGCATTCTTTAAAAAACGTTGTACTGACAACTTTTAAATTCCAGCTGCCCATTTATTTGAGATTGTAATGAATATTTAATATTTTTTCAGTAATCTATGCCTACTTGTGGTTGGTAGTGTACAGTTACTTCCAGTATCTGAGATACGATAAATTGAACAGCAGAATGGGGCCGTACGGAAGGCCGTACAATTATCGGCGACCTTGAAGCGAATCGGTGATTTTACGAAAAAAAAAAAAAGAAAAAAGCAGCGAGAAGTCTCCTTTTCGCGAAAAAATTGTACCGTTCTTTCTTTCAGACGAGAAATTGATTTCGATCGCAAGAAAGAACGGTCTAATTGCTTCGGAAGGAGTTACTTAAAGTTCAATTAGCGTAATCGCACCAAAGCACGAGACACCGCCTTTTTGTCGATAGAGAATTTATCGAAAACCACGCAATCGTGTTTATAAACCAAAACTAATCGTCGACAGTAGATTAGGACATATTTATGACACCGGGATGTTCCCTCGAACGATAATAATCTTCTGCGTTGGAAATTGGAAGTTCTCAAGATGATTCGCTGTATTTACGGGCTATATGCTTTACCTATGTTGTTCGTCTCTTTATTTTTCTTTCCTTTAAATAAAAGCAAAAAAGCAATGAAAAAAGAGATTTGCTTAGGAAGTACTCCGAGATTTTACTTTTTATAAAATAAAATTATTTTTAGGTAAAATATTAAAATTCTCGGTGCATCGTATATTTATAATGGCACGTGAAAGTATTTTGATACTTACCACAGAAAATTATATCACGTGTATTATATGAAAGTTTTTGAAGTTTCGTCGGAACTTCGGTGTTTTAAAATCTAATGAAAATTCGCTTCAATGATCTATATAGCCCATAAAAAATCGACTAATACGATCGAACATATCGGATATTGAAGAGAAAAGCGGACGTCGTTCGAGGGTGCAAGCTCCCGGGTTTCGAGAGAAATCGCGAGGGAGAGACGCGTTTTCTGCTAGGAAACCGACACTGCCGGCTTGCCAGAACGCGATATCAAAAAGGCGAGACTGATGCCCGCCGTGGACGAGAATAGATTCCATTTTCAAGGATGAAGAAAATGTTAAGCATATGCAAAAATATACGTGTTACCACACCGCGAGAACCAGTCTCTCCTACGCAAGGTTAACGACTGACTATTTATTTCCCCTGCTCCCACTTTTACTCTATTCTACTCGTCTTTCTATCGTATGTAGAGATTCTATCATTTGTAACTATTGTTACGGACTATGAGAAATAAATTATTTTTTGTTTGTAACTTGTTCTTCCTCTTCCTTATCTCGTTATCTTCCTTTCCGTCGTTTCCAGATTCTTCTCTGGTTCGTTACGCCTTTATCGGTGCGCCGTATCCGCGTACGTGTTATGCAGGCGATCATTCGTCGGGCGGTTCGAGCGTTTACCAGCGAGCGTTTTCCAGATTCTCGCGAATAAATAAAGAAAGCGTGGCAGCGGCTAAACCAGTAGCGTGGCTATCGCAACCAAAGTCCGTTTGCTTAGAGGTTCTTCGCGACACGCGTATCTCGTTATTGGCAAATTTATATCCAAACGAACTGAAACAACCGCTGGGACGAGACCAACGCAGTACTAATCGTTCATAGTGCTTGCCAGTGAATTCCAGGAATCCTTCCATGCCGCATAGAACAACTTCCAAAATAAAGGAGGACGCGTTACTAAAAGAGTAGGACTAGACGAGAAAACAAATTTATATATATGTATTCCGTATTACCTTGTTCCATCGTTAAATCTGGCGTTTGATAAGGAAATCCAGCTGTTTCGATATCGATCAGATCTTCGAGGATCGCGGAACAGTAAGATAGTATTAATTCCGAAGATGGAAGACCTCGATCGCATTTCAACTAAAAAGAAACGAAATTCGATTAAAGATGAAAGACACATGAAAGAAAAGATATGGTAATGACACTGACTATCTTAGCAATTTGAACAATCAACAATCTATGTGTAAGAGGGTATCCTCTGCTAGATTCTCGATTTGTCAATATCTCCGCGCACAAATCAGGAATTCTATTGCTGGAATTCAATTTGTTCCGAACAATTTCGGCGAGACATCGATCGCTTTCTTCCTCCTTGGGCGGTCCTTGCATTATCAGTTCTCGTATGTCCCGATAATTTAATTTAAAATTGGTCTTCCCCTTTTTTAGAGCGCCACGGCGCCATGATATTTTTTTCAGCCACAAAATTGGATAATTTATGCTTTCGTGCACTACAATTAAAAGACTTCAATTTTGTACATGATAAAAAAGGTTTTCACGGTATCTTCTTTTTTAATGTGATATTCTTACATAACTGGACGTCCTCGTTCTCTGGAATGACTTTATCTAACAAATCTCGTCGAGTAGAATCGCATAATCTTAAAACCGTCAGAAGAATGTTTCGATGTTTCTCCACAAGATGTCGCGCATTTTCATGCAAAAAGATAGCAGCCGCGTTAGCTGTACGAAAGAATAACGGAGGTATTTTGTTTAAGGTTTCAGTACTCGTTAAACTCGTAGATTTCAAATCTTTACCTTCGACGATCGTTAGAGATAACGTAACATCGGCATTCATTTGACGAGGCCTTTGGCGAATGTAATTGACTATCTTAGACAGAACGTCCAATTTTTCTCCTGCAATAACTGTCACTTTAATTCTCTATAACCAGATATATCTCTACTTATGAAGAAAAAGATTACAATTGATTACAATTTCTAATTTCTACAGAAGATACAGAAACTACTAACTATCACAAATAGATTCTTTGATAACGATACAATAATATTGATAAAAAAAAAAAAGATAGTCTTAGATCTTTCGTCTAGTCTCACCAAAATCTTTAGAAGGAAAGTTTCCATAGCTGCAAAACGGGACGCCGCAGAAAAACAGAACCGCCCAAATACTAGCGAACCTTCCAAGTGTTTCCATGTAGCTTACAATACTGAAGAAGCTGTATCTCGATTTTCCCAGGATTTTATAGCGGCAATCCCACCATGCACCCTATACGTCCACGCGACTTTACAGAAATTAAGATTAAACCAGTCCTCTTCATCACGTTCAGCGGAAATCCGGCCACTTTTCTTCATAAAGATCGAAGCGTCGAATCTCGAAAGACGAACTTCTCAATGAAATCGACTTCGAGAACGACTCGTGGGTGTTTAATTGATATTCGATAGAATGGAAGGAAATAAGAACGAATAGTGGATTGTAGATCTTGTTTGGCACAAAGAAGAAGTTACTTATTTTGTTGGTAAAGATATTATAATATAAGGTAGCGATTTTCTACATCTTCACGTTTTGTGTGAGAATTCAGAAACAGTCAGGGCGGAAGCTTCGAACACTTCCCTGCCTTCTTCTTGGTCTGTAATTCAAGTAATAATATATTTCCATTATTGTACCGTTTACAAAAGCAATTAAAATTAATGATGGTAACTTACGACTTGATATTGTATTTGAAAAATTCTACCATCCGGATCATCTTGTATTAATTTAATCTGAATTTTGATGCAAACAACAGAACTGCGAAACTGATGATAAAAATTGTTATGTAAAAATAGGGAAGAGATACGGAAAATAAATAGGGTAATATTTTACTAAAGTGGCATAACCTGTACCTAGAAGTTCTTTTCCTTTGAGAAAGGCTTTCGACTCTTGAACTACTGCTGGTAGAGTTGCAATTCTTCTCAGAACATATACAATATTATCATATACCATCATTTCTAATCTACTAAAGGAATAAAAGAACAGTTTGAAACAATAAAAATAAAAATTTGTAGTTAGCGATAAAAACTTGTCAATAACACGACCGTAAAATTTACATTTAAAAATTTTAATTCATTCAAATTCATAAATTTAAAGCTTGTAAGAAATCCTTCGTATTTATTTATACGCCTTAACAGTCATTTCCTGACAAAGAAATAAAAAAATGGTTTAGAAAAATAATCGCTGATCTATTTATTTGTTTAGCTGTGTTCAGTACAATTGCTTATATTCAGTAAAAAATTTATAAATACAGTGAATGTTTGCAAATCATTCACAATATGAATTTTAACCAAAAAATTGCGTGATGTAACGTAATACAATATGCATATTCACAGAGGATTTATTTATAAGTATTTATTATAAATAAATAAATACTTAATCAGTTGCTAATCCTCATTCTTTATCGTGAAAGTATATACATTAACATGTAAAAAAAAAACTATATATATCGAGAGAGAATTAAAATCATGTTAATGCATATATTCACCAGCCTTTTACAATCATTTAAATTTTCCGAATAAACTACTAACATATTTTCAAATATTTCTTACAATGATTTCTTAGAGATTAAAATCTTTGAGAGAATTAAAATCACGTTAATGCATAGTCACCAGCCTTTTACAATTATTTAAATTTTCCGAATAAACTACTAACACATTTTCAAATATTTCTTACAATTCAGTAATTAATAGCAAAAATATACATACATTTTCCCAATAATTTATATAGATGATCTTAATAATTATATATATAATAGCTAAAATCCTAAAGAATTTGATTATTTACTATACTATCTGAAGCTATTTTATCACATTTACCTTAATCATACCTTAATAAAGAATATTCGTTTAAACGTCAATCTCAGACATATCACTTAATAAAAAACATGTAACAAAATTAAAAGTTACGAGTCTTAACAATATAAACAGACGAATATATAATAATTATGTGTAAAACACATTGTAATAAACAAGTATGCATTAAAAATTATGTGATAATGTAGATCTTATATCAGTAATTATTAATTTAAATATATAATTTACATTCCAATGAATGATTGTGTAAAACCTATATATTACTCTCTTTACAATATGATACATAAATACTTGAAAATATTAATTAATATCAGTCAAAAATTTCCTTAGCCTATACAATTCCAACGCAGTGTCATTCTATACTAATCTGAAACTACAACAGAAATAAATAAAAATATCAACAATATATACCCTTTCATCCTTGAATCTCTTGAAAAATACTTCTCTTATTACCTCCTATGAGCATTTAAAACTTTGTTTAACAATATAATCTAGAAGTGATCTATAAATAACTTAAATCCTTAATCACAAATGATTATATAGTTCAGGATTAATATCAAATTCAAGTGCTAATTGAAGTCTGTAATCTATTGCAATCAATATAATAATTATAAGCATCGGTAAACGATATCTTGACTGCCAAGTAAATCTCAGCATGAACATTATGGCACCATGAAGTATTCCACCAGTTCCAAAAAAAGTCTCTGATGCCATTGTTTCCGTAATAGTAGGGATCATACAAAAACCAATATTTTTTGTTATCAATGTTCCTTTCCAATGATTTGTTGCGAATGAAGTTAAAAATTATAATCTCAAAATGCTGTTTCCATAATCCAATCCAACCTGTACAAAATCATATACGATTAAAATTATTTCGAATTATAATAATATCTATGTAATTACTAAATAAGATTTATTAAAAACAAATTAACAATTGTCACAAAAAATGTATTTTAAAATATTACCTCTTACGAAGGAAGTTAACCTCCAAAACAGGATAATGATTTACGTTACAGTAATAATTAACAACCTTAGTTTAATTTCTAGCAAATTATGTGGAATTCACTATTTTCGAAAATTTTCTCCAGGAATTATTTACGTTTCGTAGAGGTTAAAAATTTGTGATACACTAGTGTTCAACGGGCAACACATTTAAAACTTTCATTGATTATTGATATACTTGTTGAAACTTTGTACTTTATTTATCTGCATTCTTTAAAAGATAAAATAACACATTAGTTGCACAATTTTTGCAAAAATACAGGTTTGGCAGATATGTATTTATAGCGTGAATTACGATTCATTTACAATATCGATACGCAATCGATAATCCAAAACGACTCTTCAACTTTGAAATTTTTAAATATAAGGCGGGAAGTTTTGTTTGAAATATTTTCTACACGAACAGTTAATACCTTTTTTCATATTCTATCATTATTGTATACTAACAAGAAAGGATTGAATTTATGTCTCCCATGTTCCATGTTTAAATTATACTTAAGAAATCTTTAGCGATTGGTTAAAATAATGATTATATTGATGACTTGATTATGGAAATAATAGATTATATTGGAGACATACATAGTTGTTATAGATTACATTTCGAAAGTGAAGGTTAATAAAATTTAAATTCATTTGAATAAGCGCCGAATGTTCACCCTGCCCTCTGTAGTGTCGATATAAGTGCATGCAGCCGTCATTGGTGGGGACAGGAAGAATAAATACATTTAACAAGGGACATCTTACGATAGTTGGTACCACATTTGTAGTCATGAACATCAACTTCGAGGGAAAGCGTATTCTTGTAACCGGAGCGGGGCAAGGTATGTTACGTACTTGACATAACATATATAATTTGGTAAATACTTAATCTCTTCGTCTGTTTAATTCTAAATCGTATATTGGAACAATATTAAAGAATTTTAAGTTCCTTCTTGAATTTAGTTCTGCCCTATCTTTAATGAAAAATCACTTATTGACAGAGAATTTGAATCGAACCAATCAGGGAAAGCTGTAAATTTTTTATTTGATATTTGTGCATGATGGCAATGCTTATCTCAGAATAGAAAAGCTTCCATTGTGAATACCCCATGGTGAATGTAAACAGAAATTTTCGTTAAATTCCTGAAAATATTATAATTGCAATCGTATTGTATATTTCAAAGATTCACACTACAAAGTCCAGTATAAAGATCCAATTATATTTACTCATTTCCCAATGTCTTTCTTGTAAACGTCATTATTATATAATTAAAAGATAGAACAAGTAGAAATATTGGAATGGTTGAAATTGATAAAACAGAAACATTTCGATTACATCATGACGGCTCCCTAAACGTTCATTCACAATTACGTGCGACATAACTACACGCGTGATTGCTACTTCACGTGATTCTCCACATAGAGAAAATTATTCGTTTAACAGGTTATATTACATCGTAGGCATCGGCAAGGAGTTGGCTCTTCGTCTATCCAACTATGGAGGTCAAGTAATAGCGCTATCAAAAACAAAACAAAACCTGGACCAGTTATGCGCAGAAGATCCTCGTATTCAGATCGTCTGCGTCGATCTTAACGACTGGAACGCAACCAGGAAAGCGGTCGAAAATGCCTTACCTATTGATCTTCTGGTGAACAATGCCGGTGTTGCGCGTCTTAATCCTTTTTTTAATGCGACGGAAAAAGACTTTGACTTGACTTTCTCTGTAAACGTAAAATCGATGCTAAATGTCTCTCAAGTGGTCGCGAAAAATTTGATCGATAGGAAAGTTGGCGGCAGCATTGTTAATGTTTCTTCGCAAGCGAGCCAAGCAGCGTTACTAGATCATACCGTCTATTGCTCTTCCAAAGCAGCAGTAGATATGTTATCTAAGTAAGAGGCAGAGTTAACTTTTATTTATTTCAAGATTTGTAGTTATATAGATATTTACAATATCCCTTTATAAAAGAAATAGAAAGGAAACTAATCATTGTTATATCCTGCATTTAGTTAGCTGTAAATTAGCAGCCAGGAATTTCTAAAAAGATATATATTTAAAAACTTGGATTATAATTATCAACCGAGTCGCACTCTATGTATCCATTCATAATCTGTTTTACCTACCTTGCTTTAACAACTTCCAATTCATTAAGAAACATTTGAAATCACTTCCGGCAGCAAATAGGAATTCAATCCATTCATTGGTATTTTTTACAGAACGATGGCTCTCGAACTTGGTCCGCACAATATAAGAGTAAACACCGTAAATCCTACAGTGATCATGACAGAAATGGGTAAACTAGGCTGGAGCGATCCGAAGAAAGCACAAACTATGACAAGCAAAATACCATTAGGTCGATTTGGTGGTGAGTTATAGTTTCATTATGTAAATTAAACTTCCGCTATATTTTACTATTCTATTGTTATATTTGCAGAGGTATCTGAAGTAATCGATGCGATAGTATACCTGTTGAGCGATCGTAGCTCAATGATCAACGGAGTCGCCTTGCCAGTGGATGGTGGATTTTTAGCGACGTAAATTGCAAAAGGATATCTTGAATTTCCTTTATAATAAACTACTAATACTATTATTATAATTTTCAATTCTAAATACAATATTATACGCCATAGACATATGTCAAATAAAAAACTTTTATTAAATAAGAAATATTCTGATCGAGATTGAATTCTCGCTGAAAACGATTAGTTTGAGAACTGTTGTATGCTTCGAGCGTCATCGCTGTTTCATCGAGAAAGAATAGAAATAAAGGGATAATAAAAGGAGGTGTGGATATTCGAAGATAGATTCGGGATAAAGTAAAAGAAAGAAAATCGAACATAGTTATTCGTTTATCTCGTTTAATTTAAAAAACGCTTCGTTTCTTCCTTTTTTATTATTTAACTAGAATTCGGCGAGCAGACGGCAGGGAACGCCGTGAAACGACGAGCGCCTATCACGAAAGAAAACTCGTTTATTTGCCGAAAATATTTGAAACGAGATACGGTATCGTTTCATCGGAGTTCCCCGCCGCTACCATCTCCGGTCTAAAACAAACTTTTCGTTTTTTTCGGCTTTCTCTAATCGGTAATTATTTGAATCCCTACATTGAACATAAAGTGGTGGAGAAAAACGCGAAATCAGACTGCCTGCACGGAAGGAGACGTTCGAAACTGATTAAACACGTTGCATTTTGACTTGACCACGCCTCCTTTCGTAATCAACGTTACGAGCGAAGCATTTCCGCTTAAATTAACCCTTTATGCCAGTAATTCTTAGTTGTTTCGAAACCATTCGATGAAACGAAAAAAAGTGGTGTAAATAAAAAGTAGAGTAAAAAAGAAGGAAAAAGTGAAAATGACAAATAAAACGGACGATCTCGCATAATTTCTCTTTCTTGCGCTTTCCCTAACCGTTATACCTCTTCTCGGTATTATATAAAAAATTAATTACAGACCACTTCCGTAAACTTCAAAAAATACAAGATTACACGTTGTGGGTTAAGAACCACTATTCTACTATTTGACAAATTACAAGTATTAAAATCGGTTAACACGTAGAAACATTCCGTTTCCACGATAAACCTGCGTTCGTGTTACTCGGGAATCTCCACAATGTTCGGCGGTTATACTAAGTAGCTGCCTATTTTGATTATTATTCTTATCGTTTGAAAAATCACGTGTCCTTATTGTTGACTCGCCGTTTACGCGGCCGTATTACCATCATACATAAAGGATTAACTTCAAGTCAACATGCGTCCGAATATCAAAAGAAAAAAAGAAAGAAGAAGCAAAAGATGAAAAATGAAAAAAAAGGAGACAAAACTGTACGAAGCAACGGAAAAAGCTCGAACATCTCACGCATTCGTCACATTGTCGTCGACACGTAGTACACGGATTGACGAACAAACAAACGGACAACGACGGTCATCATTTTTTTTCTTGTTTTTTTCCTTTTTTTTTTTACAATTGCACTTCAGTTTAGGAGTTAACGGACTCACATCAAGAATGTCGAGTAATGCAAGCATAATTTCCTTAATTCCCGATCGACCCATCAAAACGTCTAGTCTCTGTTCGTTCCAACGGAAGCAGGAAGTAACCGATAGTACCAAGAAAATCGACGCTTTCCCGAGTATAATGATCGCAATTTTCAGGGAAAAGAACGAAGACTAAAACGCTCTAGTGGGTCAAGGTTCTAGCCGCGAGCAATAGATTAAATATCCGCAAATTTATACGTTTTTCTTTTCCTTTCTCGTCGCACTTATACAATAATAATATCGCGCCGATAAATTATTCCTGCTTTTCTTCTGCATTATATTCAAACGCCAGATTCGATCGATCAATCGATACTCAAAGCGCAGGTCTAAATCTTCTCTGATTTCCATTTTCCTTCTTTTTTCCTTTCTTCCGACCCGTACGCTCTTGCCATCCTCGAAGATTGTACACGCACAATATACAAACACACGACGAGAAACTAAGAAAGAAACGTGTGGCGAAAGCGTCGGTGTTATATTCGGCTTTTTTTCTACAGTGAGAACTCGATTCCAAGGAGAAAATGGAGAAGATCCTTAGAAATGTAATTGAATGAGACACTTTGACTCTCGTTTACGCTCGCCGTTCCGGCTAAGCGTTTTTCCCCTCAAACTCTCGTCAACGGATTAAACTCGACGACTAAATCCGTGTGGATAGCCTAGACGTTTAGTCGATCAGTTAGCCGCTCGTGCTTTTCATCAACCTACAAAGAAAGAAAACGTGAATGCAAGCAAAGGCCGAGTCTCAAAGATGGCAAGAGTCTTTGTTGTTGTTGTTGTTGTTGTTGTATGCGATGAAGAAAAACGAAAAGACTCGTACTAGAATGCAACGAAAGCCACGAATATCGTGTTTCCCTCCGCGGTTCCTCTCGGCACACGCAAAAGTCACGCATATACACACAAACGAATTATGCGTAAAACTATTTCTTTCTCTCGACTTTTCTCAAGCACACGTTCTTTCTATTCTACCGATCCGTAATCCTGCTCTTACGCCTCTTTTTCTTTTGCAGAAACAAGAGTTGCAACACGCAAGTAAACACAATGATAAGATGGTGAAACAGAATAAGAAGAAGAAGGAAAGCAAGGCTAAAGCAGCTCAACTCTTGACGGCTAGAAACGCTTCACTTTGTTTCTCCTTGCACATATAGTACACAAAGGCAGTTTTATAATACTCTTTGTCGGTGTTGCTTTGTTTCTTCGGACATTTCACCTAATTGTTTTCTCCCACTCTTTCTTTCTTATATCGTCCACGCATACTTGTTGCACGCACTATGTAGTACAGTTCGAATAAGTTTCTCGCAATCCATACACGAAGAGAACTTCACCGATCATTCGCAAACATATACTATACACGCATACATACATCGTTCACGATTTATAGTTATTTTCCCTTGAATAGATCATGATAATTGTATATATGTACATATACAAACCATTCGCAATCCATACAATTTCGATTAGTATATTTAAAATACGATTGATCGCGAATTATACCTCAATGCCGTGATCGTCGTGACGCCTCGTCGATGAAGGTCTTCGTAGACGCTTCCCTACTCGTGCCGCAGACCAGTCTACACATGTTCTTTAGTTTGCTCTTGCTTTTCTTTTCCTCTCTTTCCCTTCCTTTCTTTTTCTTTCCGCGGTTCTTCTCCATTTTAAGGAGTCTCGTGTGAATCCACTAGACTCCTTACGCTCGAGAAGAAGAAGAAGAAGGAGGAGGAGAAGAAGTAGAAGAGGAAGGAAAAGAAGGAGAAGAAGGCAAAGAAGAAGAAAAAGAAGAAACTCCGCTAGGCCGAGCGAAATCAAACGCGCACGATCTTTTCTCTTTATCATTTCCTTTCTATTCTACGCTTTTTCTTTCTCATTTCACTTCGATTCAAAGCATCAACGAATTTATTAGCCAGCACGTCGCTTTTAATCGGCTCAATTTGCACCAACGACTATCTTCAGATTCTTTTCATTTCGAGTAAATTGAAATTAAAAATCGTGCTGGAACTTTCTGTTCAATTCGGATACACAGAGAACTGAAAAAACAACGTTTAAACTGCATTTCGTGCGGCGTAAAGGTAATTCATTGTACAATAAAGAGAGGGGGGAGGGGGGGAAGGAAATACCGGGCGCTGGCGCTTCTCCACTCGTTTCTGTTTCTTCTTTTCTGTTTATTTCTTTGCAAAGACTTCGCGTTAATATCGCGACCACGCAATGGTCAAGGAGGAAACGACGAATCGTGACAAGATTAATTCCGTGCGTATCGTTTAGTCATGAGATAGAACTCAAGAATTTCCGCTCGCGCTGGCAGTGTTTGTTCCTTCTGCATTAAAATTCCGAAACGATCCTCGATTCGATGGCCATCATCGGAAATCATCTAAGCCTAACGATCACAAAATTACCTCTAGTTTCGACGCTTTAACTCAATATTTTCTCGTTCGTGAATTTTAACGCTTGATGATTGCACAATTTACAATCTATTTTTAATCATATTCCGAATTCAAGGTCATCGGCCACCTAATACCAACTAACGCAACATGGATACGATCGAATTAAAAACATTTTCTGAGAAACAGAAAGATTACGCGTGTTAATTAAAAAGAAGAAAAAAGAAAAAAAAAAGAAAAAAGATTAAGCAAGACGACGATTGAAGACATCGAAGCGTCAATATCGAACAACAATCGTAAAGATAACGATACAACAAATACACGATGACGACACAACAAATACCACTTCCTAAAATTAACAATGCTTTAGAACAGTGTCGTCATACGATATTTCCCGTTAGTGATTATTAATCAGGTTCGTAATAATATCGATGGAAACGTAATTCGATTAAAGCCTGTTCAAGCTTCAACGCCTTCTATCGCTTCCATCACGCAAAATAATAATGGTTTATCCTCTGCGCGCGTGTAAAACGATAACTACGATTAAACATCTAGATAATTGTGTAACAGTCGAGAATTTTACAAACCAAATAAAGATAAATTCCGATATAGAACTAAGTTAGTAACAAGATTATACCCATCACACGAGTAATAATCGTAAAACGTAACAAAAGGTAAAACGCAATCATAGTATGATTTAGCGTTGCATAAAGCTATTTTACCTCCCTTTTTACCCCGCTAATAGATAAACGGATCGTAGCTGAACAAACTTGGCTGAAATGTTTAATAAACAAACAAACAAAAATATTCTCGTCCTTCTTCTTATACTACAATTTAACCAGGCGGAACACGAGCGCGGAGGATGCGCGAGATCGAAAGGAACGAAAGGAAACGGTAAAGAAAAGATCGCGATACGCAGAGATCCGTGCGATGGATTCGTCGTTTCCATTTTGAATCGTCGAATGAAGATGCCTTTGCAATTTCATTTCGTTCCCGTCTCGAGAGGATCGTTGCAGAATAAGTCGTCCTTTTTATACAAGTTACAACATAGTAAATTTTGTGTGTGTGTGTGTGTGTGTGTAAGTGTAAGTGTAATTAGCGATAGCAGCAGCGGTAGTAATGGTAGTACTAGTTGGTAGTAGTTTAATTAGTTAATAGTTAATTAGTAATAGTAATAATAATAGCAGTAGTAGTACCCTATGAAAAAAATACATAGAAAAACACGTGTCGGTATAATATATATTTATATATAACCTTCTTTTTATATCACGTTTTTTTGTTTTTCATCTTTTTTGTATGTAATGCGCCCACGATACTTTATACAAGACAAGGTCGGTCAAGGGAGGAGGAGGGCGGCAACAGGAAGTGACAGAGGCTGATGGAAGGGTAAAAATGGTGAAGTGAGGTTGAAAAGTGGAAGGATAAAAGGGGAGACACGGGCGATTTCACGGAAGGAGTTTCGCTTCGGTCTTTACTTCCGTTGACTAAACCGGCTTACCTACAAAAACGAATAAACGGCCGCTAGATCTTTGATTTGATTCAAATTTCGTTAACAATTAACGTATGCTTCTATAATTTTCATCTAGAGTTTAATATCTTCTTATACGCTATACAAATAGTCAAGTTTTCATTGAGAATTGGTAGAATAGATTCACCCTAGACTACCATTCTTTAGATTTGAGGCCCTCGCGATGCGATCAATTATTTCTCTTCGGCTTGTTAAATTTAAATTAATCTTTGTCGTGTTCGCATCTGACGAATGTACAGTTATATTACAAAATCGAAGTTATAACGAACGAACGTAATGATATGTATATATGATATAATGAAATCTAACGTAATAAAAAAGAAACGAGTCTATATTCTGATGATTCGATGATGATCGAATTTCAAGCGGATAATCAACGCTGTAATTTTAAGGGAGTTTCTACATTTCAAATTCGAAATTAGCGTCATAAATAAAAGCTATCCAATACATACATAAAGATGATAGTACCTATCCTTACTTAATACGCATTCTACATGTACATATTGATACATGTATGCGTGTACAAAATTTGAATCAAATCGATTAATCAGCCGTCATACACCTCACAGTAAATAAAACGGTCTCGACGACTTTCGATTTTTTATATCCCAAACAAAAAATGTATTTCTCGCGCGAGAACAATCGGTTATTAAGGATTCTGCATTCTCGCGTTTTTCTCTCGGACACTTTCTCGCGCTTGTCCCTTATCCTCTCTCCCTCTTACTCTAATTCGCTAAAGTCGCACGTTCAACGAAATTTCATCAATCAAGGCAATTATTCGCGCTAAAGAGAAACTCGATTTCCGGTGAATTTCTCATGGTACCATTTATGGTCATCGAACCTAGCTGTTTGCTTCTCGCTGCGTGTTTCCAACCTCTGACCGTTTTGATTTTCATAAAAAAAATCAATCTTTCAGGATCATTTGCAATTACAAAACGGAGCACAGACGTTGTCACGTTGCGAGAAGAACGATTCAAGAACCATCGTATCCACGAGAAATATACTCATATGCCAACGATCGTTTCTCTCAACGGAAGTTCGAGATTGATCCTTTTTCCCCTCCTCTGTCCGGGTCTCTCCAATTCGAGCACACGCATACACGTAGGTCGAAATGCAACAACATTGCACACCATCGCGAACACAAAAAAAGAAACACGCATACAGGACACACGACTTGCACAACTAAGTTTGATATCGTTTCGTTATCAACAGAATCTTTGATCCATCTTTCGCCATTCTTGGCAGTTCTCTACTATTACGCGAACCTTTCTCTCTTTCTTAGTTAATCGTTGGTGTACGAACGATATCAAACTCGTAAAACACATTCGTCTCTCGCAACCAGAAAATCGGCAGAATTGTACAAAAAGGAAAAGAGCGAGAGACTGGACAGGGAGAGGAGAGGTACTCGTCAACGAAAAGCTTAATCGTGTATCTTCGATCGCTCGTTTCTACGGTCGTCTTCTCTGTCCGAACCGATGGATTCGACAATTACGCGTAGGAAAAAGAAAAAAAAATACAAAAAAAAAGGATCGAAATTCGTACACGAATCGACACGAATTGTACAGTACGCTCGATCGATATATATTGGCGCGTCTTAATCGTTCCTCGATCACCCCCTTAACTGAAACAACCGACTTATTGGATTTACCTTACAGCCACGCTTTAGTCATCCGCTTTTTTCTCTGTATTTCGGCAAACAGTCACGCTATATACAGGTTCTGTGTCACCGGTACAGATCGCGCCTAGCGCAACGGGTCTTGACTTCGAGTTGGTTTCCTCAAGTTCGGCTCAAAGGAAATTGGATTGTGCGACCGGTGTGACTTGACTTTCGCGGGTCTGTCCGGTTGATTGCGCGAGTGCGTGACTTTCGCCGCCCGAGAACCGTCGTCCAGCCGTCGATGCCGATTTTGTCTATGTACAAATCGTGTTTTAATGTTAATGGGATAGGGGAATAATCTACACGTTTATACAATAATGCTCGACCGCCGGTTCTCGCCGTTAGATTGCGGATATTAATGTGATTTACTGACAATTGTAATTATGCAAAGAAATGTACAGAGTGTACTTAATGTGTAAAAATATAGAAAACATTCAGCATAAAATATCTGTATAACGAGCTTGTGATATATAAAGAGCGAAACAGATCTCTATCTACGTTCCATCCTCTTGGCTGCGTACGTAAGAACGTAAATGTACATAAACATCCGCATTCTACTCGTAATCCTCTTTGATCGATCGTCGAAACGATCACTGCGAATCTGAAAGCTGAAAACTCGAGCCCAATATCGAGGGAATGTTGTTAAGCAGAAAAGATAGTACGAAGATTCTCCCTTTTTTACGGCTTTTTAACACGGACACGCGCATAGTTTCCTATTGGATTTTGAAAAATCACATTCTAAGGATCGTCGATTACGAAGAATTTCATATTCGCCGGACAATTGCAGCTAAGACGAAGATTACAAGTATCATCATCGAAGTCGCGTACTGTACACTCGCCATCTATCCTAAGAATCACGGACCGCGCTCCCACGAAGCGTCCTTAATCGATACAACGCAGAGCTATGTCGTCCCTCTATTTCTAAAAACCAGCAATCCTTCGTGGAAGGATCGTTTCGATATAACGAGTAGTTTCGAGTTCGTTCGCTAAACACAGTGTAATCGTCGCTGTATAAACACATGTCCACGTACATTTAGGAGCAGTCTAGCTCGCTGACTCGTTTCAATTACGAGTCGAAACACGATTCCATTTCTCGTTGGATGGCCCGCTTTGGCAAAGTTGCGTTTCACGTCTGGACACTTGCATCTTCCTTCGTTTGCACGAGAGAACGTTCGATTTCTTCCATTGTTGCGATCCTAGGAGACACACGATGTACCGTAGATCGTCGATCGCGAAACTCCTGCGACTCGTCCTCGAGAAACTCTTTCTCGCCAGTGAACACGTTCGCGTAGATCGTCAACGATCATCGACGAACCGTACTGGTTCATCGATACGACGAAGATTCGCACACGTTTCGTAGATCGTCTAGGAATACCATTTTTGAATATACAAAGAGTAGACGACATCTTCGACCGATGTCTTCCTTCGACTTTCGAGAAACTCTATCCGTCGTGTCTGTCGTATCGGAAGGTCGAAACTCGTGATTACCGATGACGTTGTTGTTCACGATGACGATGATACTGTCGACTAGATCACTGAGAAAGAGGACGATAACGACGAGGACGAGGACGAAGACGAAGATGAAGATGAAGAGAAGTCAGCTATTGCCGTTGTTGTTGATTCACTTGTGTTGAACGCTTGCCAGCCTGCCCAACAGGATGGGTGGGGCCATTGCATTGGCGCTTCCAAAATAAAAGACACACAAAACACGGACATTAGCGCGCTACCGTTCTCGAAGCGTTAAAAAACGACCGAAAAACTTTGCCCTCTCTTTCTCTGCCTCTCCTTCTCTCTAGTTTGTCAGCCCATTTTCATCTCTTTTTCCATCGCTTTGTCGCGTTCGTTCTTTGCACCGCTTAAGGAAATTTTGATTACTCCACGAGCATCGCTTCGTGTTGCTTTTCTATCGTTCTTTTATCGTCCTTTCCTGTCTCAGCGTCAGCGTGCTTTCTTTATACATACATACATCCGCTCCGTTTAATTGTCGCGCGATTGCAACTCACTTTCGCGAGTTTCTTTTTTCTTTCTTTTTTTCTTTCTTTCTTTTCCGTATTTCGTACGAGAGATCGTCGTTAGATTCGTTTCGTTGGTTATCGATTTAAGAGGAAGCCGCGAGTCTCTTTCGACGATCGAAAGGAAATACGTATCCTGTCTTCGAGAGATACTCGTGCACAATCTGGACGACGAAAGGAGCGTACAAGTCGATCGTTTAGAAACAAACGATCGTGGGATCGAGTGTACCAGATCGACCTAAACGTTTCTACGTGACTTCTTTTCTCTCTTTTTTCTTTCTTTTTTTTTTTTTTTGGCTAGAGAGCTTTCTTTTCGAGAAAAGACATGAAAGAAACACGCATTACATGTGTGTATGTGCGAAATGCAGCGACGTGGCAGGATCAAAGGCTTGAAAGCAAGAGACTCGAGAAGCGAGACTTTCGTTTTGACTCGCGACAGGGCTACGAGAGGTCAGAGAGAAGGATCGCAAGGCGAACACGCTGTTTTGTTATCTTTTTTTTTTTTCTTTCTCTTTTCGGTTTCATTTTTAAATGTTCTTAATCCACTATTTCAGTTTTTTCGCCGGTGTCCGCTACCGTGGCACAGGAGATTACTTTCGCCCTCTCTTTGCCTACTTTTGCGATTTAGAATTAGTGTCTTAGCTTTCGGTTACCTGAAAAAAATTCAACGAAAGAACATAAAGCGGAATCCTAGTAAATCGCGATGCCAAATTTCGTATTTGATTTGTCTGTTTTCTTGTCTTTATCTTTCTTTTAAGATTTGTTTCTTTCTACCACATTAAATTATCAAGTATCGTTTTTGTCTCGCGACAAAATATTTAGAGAGAGAGAGAGAGAAGAGAGAGATAAGAGAGAGAGAGAGAGAATGAAAGAAAAGAGAAAATGAAAGAAACGAATAAGAAAAAAGAAATAAACGTGCGTGCGTGCATGCGCAATCCTCGAACGCCCAGCCAGTGCGTCGGTCTGCCCAATGCGAGGAATTTTGTGATCATCGAACGTGTTTTTTAGCTCTCGCGAAGATATGTTTACGGCGTTAGAAATATGCTGTTATTAAACTGTTTACGGAAACAGTTCTAATCTCTATCAACCTCTATTAGTCTCTATTAATCTCTATCAACTTTCCACGATTTACCTTGAACTTTGTGTATTTACCTTCTTCCGATAAAGTCTCGTACAATTCTGATGAAATCGCTTAATCGCTTTCCAAAGTGTACAACGTTCGAGACGATAATATTAATTAGGTGTATCATTGCTCATTATACTATTCAAGCGTTCGTAATAAAACCAAACAAAGAATCAGCGATGGAATACGTAACTGGAACCATTTACTCAACTGTAAACACCGAGTCTCATAAAACAGCTTTAAGATTGAACGTTTAAACAAGTCCGATCAACGAACTTTATACTTGTAATCTTCAGACGGTATATACATAACTATTTTCTTTTAATGAAAGACAATTACATAATCTTCTATCTATCGTTATCATGCAGCTATCTATTGAGCAGAGTGCGAAAAGCATTAACGAAAGTTCGACGCGTTTGTTGGTTGAATTGTTTCGACAAGATTACACACAGAGATTCGAATATCTTATCACCGTCGCGAAAGAATAACAATCACCAGTCGAGTTGCAATTTTTCTGTCACTATGATATTCCCAGAATGCTATTGTTCGGAACATATTCTGTTCTCAAAGTTATCGGTCACAGACCTAAGAAATGAAATTTTCGCCTCTGACTTGCGAAAGCCGCGGATACGAAGTGAAATCAGTTTTGGTTACATGTCACCATCTCTCCGTACAAGATCGAATACAACTTGCCTTATCACATCGCTTAATTTACTCTATTATTTATACTATTTGCGATTCTTTCAAATGGCTAAAGGTCGATAGAGAGCACTGTAGAAAATTGGAAAAATATTTTTTTACTTATTTCTAACGCAGACTATATCTTGCTCGATACGCTTCTAGAGTTTAAACTATGTTTATAATAGATAGCGTTACGCTCAGAAGAGCATTCCGCGTCGAACGATAAAGTGGAGTAAGCAGTTGCCAAGCAGAATTTCATAATCGTTCAGTCGGCGCAGCGATTCGGCTTCCCTCACTTTTCCGTTATGCTTCTATTCGCGACACATGCCGCTGAATAACTTGGAAACTGAGCGCAAAAGTAGACACTTTCGCAATACGCGATTCGTGTTTTTCATCACCTTTTCCTGGTCGACATTAGGCATCCCGATCGGCGTGAACGATGCACGCGATTCGTGAATTTCTTAACGTATAAGAGAATAAAATTGTATCATACAAGAATTTCTATTACAATACAAGAATTCATCGAAGAAATTGCTCGACTCTCGGTGACATCGTTCACGTTGCATCCGAAATTCACGCTATCGGTACATGGTAGAAGAAAGTGAAGGCGAAATTATAAAATGTACAGCGATTCGCGAGCGTGGAGGACAGAAGTTGTCGCGTGGCTGTACGCCGCGTTCGTTTCCGCCTTTTTAGTATGCAAAGTAATGTACACGGGCGTATTTTGAAATGTCACGCAAGGAAAAACCATCCCAGTGCACCCGATGTAGCAGGCAAGTAGATTTCAACGTTGCATTTGGAAAGAATCTTTTTTCTTCGAGGGCAAAAAAAAAAAAAGAAACAAAAGAAAGAAACGATAAAAAAGGAAATCTTGTGATTTTTAATCGAAGAAGTAACATCGTAGCTGCAAATTTACAAGACGATTCTTTCCAAATAACGAAAAGTGCACTCCCTCTCCTCTCTCAACATCTCTCCAGATCTCCATCGATCGAGGAAGAACCATGCCACGGTATCAAGACACCAATCTACCAAAAAGGTGACCTGCCAAATTAGAGCTCAATGCAACTAACACTGACATCCATCGTCGAGATCTAGTTCGCAAGCAAAATAATCTCTTTATTGCGAATAATCACAGTTCGATGAAAAAAAAACGAGTTGCGCAACTTTTCCCCGAGTTTATATCGATTACGAAATATACTCGGCGCAATCCGTTCTGTTTTTTCTTTTCTTTTTTTTTTTTTTTTATCGTTCTTTACAAAACTCTTCCATGGCAAGAAACCGATTTTTATTCTATCCGTAATTTTGTTGTATTTTCATCGTACATCCAGAATCGGACGATACAAACGAAAACGTAAACGAAAGAAGGTAACGTGACGACGTGCGCACGAGCTAGATGATACGAGAGACAAGTGGAGACACTCTAGACGCGATGAGAATTACGTACAACTTCTGGAAATCGTCGCACCCGTTTAAACAACGATTTACGAATGGTGAATCAAAGTGACGAACCGTGACGTGATAGAAGAAACTTGCAGCTTCTATTAAGAGATCTTGTGAAACTTCACTTGCGATGCGATGTTTGCCCGTACTTTGTGCAACGTTCCATGCAATCTCTAATGGCAGCACCAAGTGTAACAAGCTCGATTAATCTTTACAGGTGTACCGAAACCAAATAATATAGAACGCATACAATTATTATTATTATTATTATTATACGCGATCGTTTTTGCACGGTGCGATCATTGCGACGGACAAATCTGAACGTTTAATCGTTCACACTTGACCGATGTTTCGCATTAAACCTTTCGAGAGCAATAGGATCGTAAGATAACTTTTTAGAAAGATTACTGGATTGTAATTGTAATTTCTCTAACATCATCGAGACCAATCGAGAAGTTGTCGTTTTTAATTTTGCCAGCAATTATTTTACTAATTAAAGACTCTGTCCCTGGTAGCCACGTTTTGTCTCCGAGCTTCTCGATTAGAAACGGATTTCAGAAACGGAGAGAAAAATCTGTCTCGAAAGGATTAAGCTACTCTATCGTTCGTTTGCAGAGAGAATAAAGGGTGTTTCATAAAATTGCAAACGAACGATATTAAAATTCGACGAGTTTGAAACGGTGAAATATATCGAATTAAGTGCAAATGGTTAAACGTTCGCTGTGGTATTGACTCGAAAACGGGATGTTAATCGTATAGAGAAGCTCCGCGGACGAAACACCAGAACATCAAGATCGAGTTCGCACACGATCGGTACAATTACGACACGACCGGTTACGAGATAGACTACGACAGTTAAAGACCACTCCCTAAATACTAGTAGAGCGAGTTATACTTAGGTGCTTTATCCGCGGCGACGTTTTGACGTGATATAGCAACTCACTTGGTCTTCGGTTGCATCTCTCCTGCAGCCGCGTCCCTACGGTGCAACCTCATGCTGACTCTTCGTTCCTGGCCACCTGCGCCCGACGCTGTAATACATCAGCAAAAAGCAAACAATGCATGAATATCGGCATTTTTTCCATTTTTCCATTTCTATGGTGCGTCCTTTGCTAAACAAACTTATCGCATACGTATAAACATCCTTTTCTCGTTCTACTTCTACATGTATATAACGATTAAATTTACGTAAATCGTATCCAAGTCCAATGTCTAGGCCATCAGGCTGAAATAAATAAATACATTTAACGTACATGTAACGCGTTAATTAACTCGTTATCTTATCGCGTCGAATAGCACAATTCATCGATAGAATATTTCACATTTCGGCGTAATACGAAATATTTAAAGAGTCGAGTAAACTGATTCCTGATACGTGCAGTCCCTGGACATTTCATTTTCGAATGGCTTCATTTCTTTCTATTTTTACTTTCTTCTGTTCGCCAGTTTTAAATACAAAAGGAGCTGCCACGGATAAAAGTATATACCGTTGCATTCTCACAAAGACGAATTTTTAGTCGATTTTTAGTACCGTAAATCCTAAGAAAAAAATCATTCTGACTGAACCATGTAATTCCGAGGAAAAAGAATATCGAACTTTGATTTTGACGATTTAATCGGCTTTAAATCTTCGTATACATTATGGTCGTGCAACGTGAAACCAAAGTAAGAAGCAACGAAATAGAAACAACACTGGCGTTGCAAAACTAAACGTGTCTTAAATGACTATAATACGCATGTTATACCTACCATAAGCGAACGTTGCGTCACATACGAGACAAGTTTTGAGACGATATGTCGCTCGTTCGAGGATCCTGACGACTACCGAGCACAGTTCAAGGGAACACTAAGATCTATTCAAACTACTCTATTAACCTATGCAGTAAAAACACGGTAAATTATTTATAGGAAGTTGAATCTGCAAGTTCGGGATAAAAAGCTTGGATATATTTATATCGCGACGCTTCCTTGAACTCTATCGATCACTTCACCAGGTATCGAATTCAGATTGGAAACAATAATAACATGCTCCTTTCTTGGCTAGTTGACGCAGACTAAAGAAAAATCGATCCCCGGGGTATTCAGACATGGTATTGTATAGCCTTTGTCGTGTTTCTTCGGCGAAACATAATTGTAGGAATAACGATCACCGTGAAGATCGAAATTTTCGTAGAAAACCGCCTATTCTATTGTTGGTGAAAGTTTATATTCTCGTAGAAAAAACGCGATGAATTTCTGGATTTTTCTTACAAGATCGATCGTAGAAAGGATTGACCACATGATACAGGGACGACGAACGATATTTCACGCTTGGCAATTGAAATGGAAAAAGTTGTATATTGACAAAATACGTAATAACGTGAAGACAGATGATGCGATTAGGATTGAAAAAATAAAAAAAAAAATGAAAAAAAAAAGAATGGACATTATCCGCGATCGTGATCGAGTGGAAATGATATTTCTCTCGAGGAACACAGCAAGTTGGTTTTTCCATTCAAGCCAAGTGAGAAGAAAATTTTGACGAGGATTATCGACAATGTCGTGTGGTGAAATAAATAAAGAGACCAGTCCTTGAATGGAAAAACATTTATTTACTACTTTCTCTCCATCATCATCATCATCATCACCATCGTCACTATCAATTAAAAAACAGAATGATTACAAACAGATGCGCAATTGCCGGAGGCTCCTTGGATGAGAAAGAAATACACAGAAGGAAGATAGATGATAGAAGAAAAATAAGGTGAACAAGAAAAATATATGCATAATCAAGGAAAAAACTTAACGACGATGCTCAGGATCCAGCGGTTAGGAAGAAGTCACCGAATCATCGGAGTTTCAGAGGACCTGTCGAACGAAAGAAGCCCTCGAGACTGCGATTCGCGCGGCTAGAAGAAGTAGAAAACTATGCTTTAGCGTCTCTATCTAAGCTTTGGTAACCTTTCTGGGATCTCGAGGGGCTTCTTTTCGTCGGTTCGAGATTGGTCACTGCGAGCAAACGAGTAACGATTCACTGTGAACAGAGGATATATGAAAGGTTTAGATACGATGGTGAATACTAACTATGCTCTTCAAAAGAAAAAAAAAAGGAAAAAAACAGATAATGCAATTTTTTGTAGAATTCATCAAATGCATAAAAAAGGGGTTACTGCAAAAAAAACTAATAATCGGGTTTCTAACGAGATGAAATGTTATACGAAATGTTATACGAATGAAACACACACTGATAATAAAGAGAGCAATTTCCTTTTTGCAACAACCCCATAATAAATGATTCGACAAGAATGGAATTTTAGCAAATCTTTTGGCAATTAATCCTCTCGTGTCAAACGATCCTTGCTTCTTCCGTCACGCCGGATTCCCAAAAACGACACGTAACACGTCCGCAGCTACGAAAAGATGAGAGTTTGTAATTGTTCAACTTATGAAATCACTAAAGAATCAGAGAAAGAATCTCTCGTCTCCCTCTTTTCCTTCTTAAAAGGAGGGCAACCATTGAATGCGTGAAGAACAGAAGGTGCTGTGGACGATTACAATGTTAGGCGTATCACGACAAAACAATCGGAAAACTGCCAATATAAACGAACGTGACAATATCTGGTAAAGCTATCTTGTTAATTATGATGCGAGTTCGGTGCGAGCAAAATTTTCAGCCTCACAGTTCACATTCAATACCTTCGCTTTTCGCTTCGAATACGTAATTTCGATATACGTAATTCCATACGTTCCTCTCTTCTTCTCTTTCTTATTGGCTCGAACAAAATTTCTCAAGCTTCTGGCGCTAGTAATCGATATTACGATAATTGAAACCGCTAATTTAAGTATTAACACGAACTCTGAGGCTCTGATAATAGTCGGCTCGATGATAAACGATTATTGTGCGTTTCGAGCTTCTCTAACTAGCGACATTAATGCGTAATGAGTAATGATTTAAGAAAAAGAAAAAAAGATACGACGCCTTACAAAACTAACTTTCGACGATATAAAAGTTACGTAGAAATTACTTGTTTACGAGTATCTGCTCGAATTTCTTTTTTGGACAAAAGCGTTTGGATGCGGCGCAAGCTCCATTTATCGTGCGAACTTCCGACGCCCTCGAACCGCGCTACGAGTCGAAATGCAACGTTCGATAAGCGTGCTTTTCGTTTCTCGCAAATTCCACTTCGAAAGACGAAGCGTCTAAGTTCGCATAAATGCAAACATTTCGCACACGATAGCATAAAACATCAGGCGTATTCAATACGTGAACGTATCAATAGGAGGCGATAGTAAATGTCACGTCATCCGAGTAGATACCGTTGGAACGTTTTAGCCGCAAGTTTACTCGCTATATAAAGATACGTACACCGTGACACGCGAGTAGTATTTGGTAATATTGCGTAACACGATTATATGAAAATATATAAACATGCTGAATGCGTGTCTCGTTAGCTAACAGAGTTATCCTCCTCTTTTCGCCAACTATGATTACACATCGCTCGATCGACCATGTATGTATGCGGTACGTTGTTATGCCATTCGATGGATTATTTGTTTTAGCTCTCTGTACATCCGATGAGGATCGTTCGTCGCTTACATTTAGTCAGTCGTTAGTTTAAAGGCGGTTTTTCTCTTTTTTTTTTTATAAAGGCATTTATCAGTCAGAATATGTAGGACGGGTCCGCGTATTATTCTTGCCACTCGACGTTTCATAATTCTGAGAATAGAATTTTTTATAGCGAATCAGCAAAAGGACTCGTTGGTAACGGTGGGATGTTTCGTGGCTGGCGGACGAAGAAAATAGAGATATCAAAAAATATCGAGTTTCTTAAGAAGATTCAAAAATGGCAGTGGTATAATAAAAATATATTATCTTAAAGAGTTGTAGAGATGGAAAAATTCACCAGTAAATAGTAGAGAATAACAAATCTAACAAGTACACTTTTTGCGTTCCTGAAAGGTATCCTAATTTGTAAAAAAATATTTGTCGAGTACAATATTGAAAGCTCATATAATTTAGTAGTAGAATACCTTGAAACAGGTTCTACGACACAACCTGACGAGTATAGATATACGAATCGCAATGTCGATGTTTTCAGGTCATGAGAAAAGATGGAGTTGATCCTAATCCTAAACAATAGAAGTGGTATTGGTGCAATAGTAGATTCAGTAATATTTACCCATTGTAATATTTCGTATCATAATTCTCACTTGTTCTAAGTGAAACTAGAAACGTAGAGATTCAATCTTACCGGCCCTGACACGGTCAGGGAAGTGTATAGAAAATTCTTGGCATAACAACATACGAAAAATACCAGTATGAATATTAATATCAATAACAAAGATTGCTACGTGCGTGATGTAGATTTTTCATAAATATAAAGTGCGTTCAGAACATAAACTTAGATGCATACACAGAGAAATATGTCAAAAAGAATTCCCTTTAATATACCAAGTGTACCGTGCAGTATATCATAGCCCACAGTTTCGTTCGAACGGGTAGCATGACTCAAAGCATCTAAATTCGCTATAGTGACTACCCAATCCACGATATGCTCTTTCTTTTCAGACCCAACAACTTCTTGCAACTTTCGTGAAATATCGTTTTCGGTGACCAATGGGGGTTTCTCTGTGTCTTTATCTTCCGGTGGCTTGTTATTGGTATTTTCATCGGGCAATTTGTTTTGCTCATTTATTACACGAACCGTACCTCCATCCTCTAATAAAACTGTAACCTCTTTCTCATCTTTCTGATCGTTCGAAATCAGCTCGACTTTGTTCGTATCGTCTTGCTTATGCGAAATATCGAGATTCAATTCAGTTTGTAGGCGGTCGAGCAGCAGATTTGAAGTACTCTCGAGAATCTCGTTCTTATATTGTTGGCACAAAAAATACTCGCACTTTTCTCGACCGCTCAGTGGTCGTTCGTATTTATTTCGTTGTTTGATTCTGCGCTGCATGAGTAAAAAATGCCAGCTTCTTCGAACACGTTGAAAGAAATTCGGCCGCTTTCGTGCTTTGTTGGCGGACGAATCCATGGACTTTTTTGACTTCTGGGAAGAATCGAGACTTCTTTGTTTCCCGTGAAAAAATGCTTTCGAACGTTCCTCGAACAACAGATCCAAACTTTTCGAATCTTTCGCCGACAAATCTATGCTCCTTTCCAACGACTCTAAGCTTCTGTGCGTTTTTTCTTTGTTATTGAAAGAAAAATTTCGTTTCTTCTTGGCGGATGCTTCTTGCAACAACTCGCTGCTGCTTATCTTGAATATCTCGCCTTCCTTCTCCAGAAATTCTACGTTTCCGGAATCTCGACGAGCATCGTGAGCCGAGACATGATGTCGGCCACCAAGTGTGGAACCCTTTTGCTTCCTATCATCGTGATCAGCGCCGCCTTTGTCTTTATCTACGCCACCGAAACAGTTCAACGAGCCCCCGGATGCTGCTACGTCACCCCCGTGGTCAATCTTTTTCTCGTCGAGCGTAAGACGATCGAACATCATCACTTCGAAATTTATGTCTTTCTCAGCTTTATATGATTGAAAAAAATAAGTCTGTTTGTCTGGTTGACGAAATGATACGCTCGGACTACTATCGGGTAATCTGTTCGCTATATAGTCACGGGACGTGCTACAATTTAAATCGACACGATTCGGGGTTGGTTCGCGGATTCCTAAACTAAGACCCGCAATGTCCAGGGATGCTTCCGGCGCTGTTCTAACCGGCGACGATTTAAACGTACTGAACTGACATGGATTCGCGCGTGGTGTTTCGTTGCCAGTGAGCTGCGGATGCTCGACTACGAGCCGCATTTTTTGCTGAGTTATAACCGGCTTAGGACATAATTTTGGGTAGAACTGTGGTTTACCTTGAAGATCGCTCTCCTGATTGTCCTGATCACGAAGAGCGTCTATCGCCTCGCGTTTTTGCCGCATGCTTCTCAAATTCGTGGTTGTTCCACCCACAGTCGGGCCCACCGTTCCCACTGATATGTTTGCCAAACACTGCCGTGTATAGGGCCTGTAAAGAAAAATATCATCTTAATAATAAACAATTTACACATTCTACCAATTCATTCTGGGGTCCTTTATTTAAATAACTAGCAATTCTTAACATCAAAAAATTGCTTCAGAATGTAATATAAAAGAAAGTACGGAGAAAATACAGAAAAAAACACGATATATTAGAGAGAGAAAAAAAGTGTCGAATCTATTTGATTATTCGTGTTGTTAAACACGACTGTTTCCCGATTCATTGACCCACCCGCTAAAAATAGAACGCACTGGGTAATGAAATGACCATGCTATTTATACGCATGGAAAGACGGCGTGGTAGACAGATGCGATTGCTAGCATTTTCACGTCTAATTTCATATGCAAATGGTTTGCGGTTCGCGAATATACAGCCCGTTCTGTCATGTCCGAAACACCAACCTAGATCGATGTTCCTGATCGTTATTGGTCCCAGAAGGCAGCGCCACGTTCGTGTGTTGTGACTGCATAGGTGTTTGTTGCGTCGAAGATAATGTTTGTTGCCTCACGTTACCAAATTTCAGCATATTCCAATCGAAGACGTAATCGTATGTGAAGCCCTGACCGTGGAACAGCGTCCGGAAGAGTTGTCGAAGATACGAGTAGTCAGGCCTTTCTTCAAATCGTAGTCCTCGACAATACCTTAGGTATGACGCAAACTCTACTACAATAACAAAAAGCGATAACATCCATTCTGATCATGTTTTCATGAATATGATGCAGAATATAATAGTTTATGGGAAAAGAAAATTTACCAGGATAACCCTTGCATAATTCTTCGACAGGCGTAGACATTTTCTTTTCAGAAATACGTTCATACTTTTGTCTTTTAGTCGCCGCTTTCAAACCTTGCCAGGGCAAGCTACCCCTATTGAAGTACATAAGAACATACCCTAAGGATTCAAGGTCGTCTCGTCGTGATTGTTCAATTCCCAGATGTGTATTAATACTCGCATATCTATTAATACACATAAATGAATTTCTTCGTATTAATTAAGGAACGCTACAACGTTAAAACAAATTAAGCTATGTATTAAATAAACAAACCTGGCTGTTCCTGTTAAATTCTTGTTTTCTCGATAGGGTATGTGTTTGTGAGTACGGCCATCGCGGTATTTTTTAGCCAATCCGAAATCTATAATATACACGAGATTTCCCTTCTTTCCCAAGCCCATCAAAAAATTATCTGGTTTGATGTCCCGATGGATAAAATTGCGACTATGAATGTAATCCGTTCTACATATCTGTTGGAATTAGAATACAGAGAAACATTGTGTGGTTTAACGCATTGTTGTCAACGTTTTGATTACATGTAAAAAGAAACATGTACATTCGGAAAGATATCGTAAAAATTAAGTAAAGAATCAATACGCAATAAAGAAAAGAAAGGAAGGAAGTTATATTGCATTCAGTTACGCTTTATGGCCATAGTCGTTATCTCCGATAATAATTATTGCACGTGAATATAATTAATATATAATACAGAACAAACATGCGATTAACCAGGCCATGGAAGTGTTTTACTAAAAATCCCCAATTAATGAGCAATAATGGTTCAACAGGAAGAAAAAACTATAGGGGTACACTTGCTTTTCTCTAAATCTGCTCTATCCTTAGACAGATTCCCAATACAATTCTTTCTTAAAAGCATTTTACTTCCAAGTAAAACTTTATATGCTAGCCTTAGTGCCTCATTAAATAACGTTTTTGTTGAGATCAGAAAAAGCTTTGTTATCACCCGACACAATTGTTGACTGATAAGAAAGTAATTTATATTGTAATTTATTTCAGTAACAGAAAACAGAATGACAAATACTTGCATATAATCACAACGTGAACTTTGAACGTTACTAACATATGTCTTGTAATTACAATGATATTACAGAAACAGATATAAAAGTCCTTGTTTGAACAAAGAAAGATAAAACTACATATATAATTATTTATTTTTTATCAAGTCATGAAACAAATTCACATATTCAAAATGTGTAATACAAAATTATAGGAATAATTGCATATCTGAATAGAAATAGTTTAAAACACAACATAACTTTCTATGAGAAACAAATAGCGTAGAAATTACTTGAAAAAGATCACGTAAGTATAGTTAAACTTAACATAGAAATTCTGTACAGACCAAAGCAATAAAAGGGATACACGTTTCTTAAGAAAAATTATGAAATATTTTAGTTTCAACAAAAAAGCTACTATTTACCAATTGATCGGCGAGAAGCAAGACCGTTTTCAAAGAAAAACTTCTTGAACAAAAATTAAAGAGATCCTCCAGTGATGGACCAAGTAGCTCCATTACCATTACATTGTAGTCACCTTCTGAGCCACACCATTTTATAGTTGGTATACCAACTGAAATGTTATAACAAATATGTTTTGACAATGATATAAGTATAATTTAAGTTGTATTAAAGTTTACAAAAGTAGAAAATTCGTTTGGTTATGAATACAAATTTTATTCTTGCATCAAACATGACTGCACGTTAATATTTAATTTTTTTTAAGGAATTAATGTTTAAAGAGTATCGAAAAATACTGAACAAATTAAAAAAAAAAGACAGAATTGAAGTATTTATATGATTAACTTACAAAACAAGATATATATATATGTTTTATTAATAGAAACATCAAATGTTATTAACTGTTAAAAAAACAAACAGAGATTGACATTGACGTATGAAAATCAACTTGGACATTAGGTTTTAAACTACGCGATGAAAGCATGATGTATAAAGATTACGTTACAAAAATTATAAATATTATTTTACATTAACGGCTCTCTTTATTTAGAATACGAAATATTTTCATGCACTCGAGGACTTATTATTCATGCGCATTGCGTGGTATTTTTTAAGACACCTAATGCATGCTTGTTTTAACCAAACACATATCGCAATAATCGCGAATAATATTTTCTACCTTTGTGGAACACATTTTCTATCAGAACTCGCAAAACAATGTTTATTTTTACCGTCGTTATTGTAACTATATCTAATTTAAAATTCTTTCCGCCATTCTAGGAATAGTTCACTAATAATTTTACGTTCGCTGTAAAAATCACCACGAACACAAAATGAAACAATGGCTTCTTATAATTTGGCTTCCTTAAAATATTTTATATAATCGATAAAAATTAATTGTACACCTTTCTTTCTAACCCCAAAACTAAGAATTTGTCTATTTGTTGAAAATGGCGATTAGGCAGAAGTACGTCATGGAAGGATCAATATTAAGTATTTATAAGAATTACTGTTAATAATAGATAAGATTCGTCCAACGAAAACATCCAAGTCTCCTCAAAACAAAAAACCTCACATAAACGTCACACCAAAAGCAAGCATCGAAGCGTTTACACTTTTGTGCAAAAATTTTAAAATATTGACGGTTTTAGAATATTGTTATTTACCGATAGCTATTAGCAAAGGATTAATAAACGCATTAGCGACATTTTATTTATATACGTCTCATCATAAAATAGAATAACATAAACAGCTCGTGTATACAAATATCGTATATCGGAATAATTTAGTTTATGAAATTCAAACATAAATATGTAAACGTTGGAACGGTAAAGTTTCTTATTGTCACAAAGAACAGAGAATAAAAGAGAGGAAGAAAGGAGTAATACAAGGGGAAAAGAGAGGGGAGAGGAAAAGAGAGAGAGAGAGAAAGAGAGAAAGAAAGAGAGTAGGTTCAGTGGCCAGACCAACCAGCTGTCCAACAAACACAAAATTCTGACAGTTCTCGGGTGACGGTGTAAGTTTCAGAACGTTCGATGACACATGAAACCAAGTCGGAGCATTTAATAACGAACAAAAATTTACTTACCACCACCTTGCATCATTCTGTAGAACTTGGATTCTATGTGTAACTGCGGATGCCGCGTTTTTATACATTCTAGCTTGATGGCGACTTCCTCGCCGGTGGAAATATTGGTACCTAAGAACGAGAAAAAGGCCAAAGGCCCGGTCACGCAGTAATAAGAAAAAAAGGGAGAAAAAGGTGAAAGAAACGTGTATAGGTGCACGGGGGAGTTGGCGCGTTGATGCGTGTCGTAGGGCAAATATGTAACTGTCGTGTGGGTAGACGGGTGGATAGTGGGGAGGTGGGGGAGATGTAAGTAAAAGGTAAATGTCGAAAGTAAAAGAGTTACCTAGATAAATGTCGCCGAAGGAGCCGCTCCCGATTTTCCGTCCGAGCCGGTACTTATTTCCAACGCGTAGCTCCATCCTCTAGCCTCGCGGGGCTCACGAAGAAAAGTAGCACGGGGCAAAACGCGACTTTAGGCAGCCGACTCGAGGAGCGCTCTCCGTGGCTCCGTTGGTGCGCTTTAAACGAGACTTGGCTGCCGTGTTACAAACTGGACGGGGCCTCCATCTTTGCTCGCGTCACCGATCGCGAACCTACAGGCATTTCTTCTTTCTCTCCTCGAAGGAATACTGTTTCTTCTTGCTGCGATGGCGGTCGCGCTGATGATGGCGCTACTGTCGTCGTTGTCGTTGTCGTCGTGTTGTTGACGGCGCTGCGATTGCTAATGTTGCTGCTAGACCACAGAAATCACACTCACCATTCACCACTACCGAACTGGTGACTCGTACGGCCAAAAGACTTGTCGTCTCCGAGAGGAGGTGGTGGCTGACCGCTCGTCCTTATAGTTTGCGAATTTACCCAATTTGAATATACACTGCGAATAACACTACCGGATCTTGCCAAGTATGTCGATCCGGATAGATCAGTGCGTACCCACCAATGGGAGCACGAACCGCGTAAGGGCATCTGCCCTTTCGCTGCGCGGATCTGCACTGGAGACCGAATGGCGCACAATTATGGCCGTCTAAGATTCACCAATCACGATCCACTTCTTCCAACACCTTTGTCGTGAACGAACCTTTTTATCCAACTTTCAATTACAAGATTCGACTGTCCACTCGGTACTATTTTATCATGACACTCTATCACTTTCGCTCACTTTCTACAACGCGTTACTCAATAAGTTCTATTCTACTGTTGCACGCTCGCTATCTCCCAACCGTGACTATACCACAACGACGAAACACGATGAAGACATACGGACGCAAGCGCGACCAGCATTTCGACACGCCTGAAAAACGTCTGCGCCATCTAGCGAACACTGGTTAAATCATGATCGATAGTATTTCCTGTCTACTCTCCACGATTAATCGATATGTTCTTTTACGGTTTCAATCCTATCAGTGCCTTTCAATTTTTATGTTTCAAATTTCAATCCTCCCCTCTTGTTTCAAAAAAAGACAACTTTTAAAGGGAAATTTGATGGGAAATTTAAAATTAACGATAGTAAACTACGATTAGATAAAAAAAAGACGAAAAAGTTTATTTATAAGTAATCGAAATACATATATTTTCCTCAATTTTTCCAGAAGCAATTTTTTGTATATGTTTCGCTTCTGAAATGCCAGAAAACCTATAAAACTTATTTACCTGTGGAATTTAAATATATGCTAAACTTACATATATATATATATATATATATATAATATATAAATATATATATATATATATTTCAACATCGACTGTTAAGGTCATTTGTTGACTTTACATATTTTATAAAGGAAAAAAGTATGAAATGTTTGGGAGCAGTTTTAACAATTCACCATATGCAATACGTAATATTTTATCAAGGTAAAAAACAAATAATTTTACAATAGCAGAAGCACGTCCGTTTTCATACATTTTGTATCTTACTTAGCTCATTAACTTTACCTTGTTAATGTAGTTTACAATTGTAATAAAATTAACGGTACAAGGTGCACCAACAGCACAGAATACTATATTAGATCTTGAATAATAAAATTCAAGTGGATTCGATAAACAACAAATTTATTCTAATTAATATCCTATTTAAATGTTTAGATCTATGGTTATGGATTAAGGATTTCATTTTCAATAAAAAAAAAACTGTGCATAGTCGATTTTTGGAACACCTTGTATAACATTTATTTGTAATAACCGCGTACAAGAAACATACATTTCGCAAAGCGGTTGAATAAAAGAAATAAAAAAGGTCGTAAGAGAAATTATGACATTAGAGGAAGATTAAAATCTATCTACAAAGGCCTCGCATTAATTGCATCAACGAACAGTAAATTGTTATCATTTTTAACACACATGTAGTCTAGAGGAACGATAAAGGATGAAAAACTTTTTATTCGAAATCACGTGAATAGTCGATCGATTAAATAGTTAATGGTTGATTAATTAAATGTAAAAGAAGAAACGAATATGTATCTTTTATGCATCAGTCTGTCACATTCGGTAAAAATATATTAAAATTTTTAGTAGTTTTCATTTTTGTAAAAAATCGTTAGTTATGGTATTATAAAAGATAAATATGAAATTGCCCCGGGAAACGGAGTTGTGTTTGTTTCGAAATTTTATTGAGATCCAAAATCGTGGTATCTTAAATACGATCCGTACTGTCGCAAACACAAATCAAGCTACGTAGTACATCACTATATAACGATAATAATAGTACATTTGTAGCATTTTACGATGTATTCGCGTAAAAAGTAATATGTAGCAATTGTCCTCCACCAAAAATAATTAACAAATAGCTTGTTTATCTAGAAAGATGGGACATACATACGTGTAATGTTAAAACACAATTACATCTGTTTTGTTCGTATAATATCGGAATTGAATTCAGCGAGTTTCAATGCTGCTCGATAGAAATAGTTCGATTGTACCATGATCGTTTCCATCAAAGAAAAAGGAAACTTAATGATTAACAAGTATCAATAAAAAATATATTCGTAACGGCTCTCCTCTTTTACGTCATGGCCATTGATAGTGTCCCTCACTTAATCTCTGTAACTTTTCTTATAACGTAATTCTACTTAAGTAGCTATTTCTTTATTTTGTTAGGCGCATCAATTCAACATACTTACATATTTTTCTTTTTTTGATCCTTTGTCACAAGACGCCTATATAATATTCGAAATACTATATAGATGATTTAAGTCGCCTTTTCACTTTTTACTTTTATTATTTAGAAATATGACGTGACGCAACATATTCGTTGCGTTACAATATGGCTGCCATGTTCACAATTTGTGATGTATCTTGCTTCTTTGTACAAGCTATAATTTTTTAATTATGTTCAGCTACACACCATGAAACGGATCGTATAAATTTTCCTCAATTTTTTTCTTAATGCTGCATTAGAAAATTTTTTAAAATTATATTTTAATAGATTGATCTACAGATGAAACAACATGAAACATTTTAATTTTTCTTTGAGGATTTGTTACGCTTGTATGTAAATAAAATGCATTTTATTAAAATTACCTAGGCCTAGTTCTACTAAACCATCGAAAATTTTGCTCAATCACGAAATTGACTATTAAAAGAAATGCAATGAGAATGTTCAGTTAAAATGTAAAATATATCGACAATCTTGGCAGTTAATATATCTCGATTGGTTCGTCGCTACAATACTCGAAGTTCACTTGTTTATCATTTATAGCTAATGCTAATGCCGCATATAAATCTAGATTTTTTAAAAAATCTACGATATATAAATTCTACCTATCGCCGCTGTGTACACGTGAGTCCATTAAGTAACAAAAAATCTAATTATTGTGTGGCTCTGTGTACAGAGCATAAAATCAGGGAGTAGAGTACAGGACAATTTGGAATATTCCTAAGAACCGACTTCTTCAGGCCTTGCCAATGGAGCTTTCGACTTTTCGGTAGTCACTGTAGTTGTTGTTATCTCCAAGTTTGCCAAGTCAGCTGCACTAATCTGCAATATTAAAAATAATGATGTTACGCATTTATCTGAATGATATTCTGCAAAAACTATCATGTATCCAGTTAAACAAAGCCTTATAACTACGCAAAAAAGATTGTTAATACATCAATAAATTAAGCAGCGATATGTTATAAAATATACCCACAATTTGAAGATTGATAAATCGATTATCCAATTCTTAAACAAACTGAGCTACGTAAATCGTGTTAGTAGATTAGGAGCGGGCGATATGCTAAGCGTTAATTATATAATTTCATGGCAAAATAATTGCATATTCCTAATAAAGATATAAAATATCTCTTCCTTATTAATATAAAATGAGTGGTTACTTCAGACGAATCAAACTGGGAAGAATATTGTAATCACAATCTAGAGCAATTCTAGGATTTCCAGAGAAGGAACGAATGGTTATATATTACTGAAAAAATGAGCATGCCTTATCATCCGACACACCTAATGTTTATGAAAACTGAATTAAAATTCCTAAGAAAATAGTAATATCATTAGCGAGTATTATCTTTTCTTTATATTAGTAAGGACAACATATCTTCTATGCGGACGTTTATAGAATTCTTATATATTGCACTACTTTTGAGAAACTCCAAAAATTTAATGGCATTCTATCATTTTGTCACAAAATATAGGCTTAATATCGAGGTAAGGACCGACACCAATTATCGCAATACATTCAGTGCCGTTTGCTGACCTCGACGTTTGGAGGTAGAGTGATGGTAGCGTGTGTCGTTGTAGTCTCAGTACCGCTGCGTATCTCTCTTTCTACCGTAGTGCCTGCGCAAGAACAAATAGCACAAAACGAAACAATAACAAAAGAATACAAAAAATATCAGAAGAATAAAAAATAAAAAATTACAAAGCGATGAAAGACAAACACAAAATGTTAAGCGATCGATGAATTACGTAGTATATGAAATTATTAAGAATATGATTGTATACAGTCTTCAAATACTATAACATGGGGTGACCTAAAAAATATTCGTTTAAAAAATGTATTTAAGAAGAATTCGATGAATTGTTAAAAATCAGTTTAATATAATGTATTATTGGTCACTTGAATAATTTATAATTCACACTAATTTGAATCAGCAATGATTTCACTCACTATTCATTTGTTGTGTTTCATTTGTCTGACTTGTTTCGATCTCTCCATTAGCGGTAGTATTGTTGGTTGTTTGCGAAACAACGGTTGTTGTTTTTACAACTAGGGATTGATTTTGAGTGGAAATTTCTGAAGTTCGTGAAGTCACTTCCATTTTAAGTCCTGCAAGACGACTATGAAGTTCTTCGGAAGACGTTGCATTTCTGAAAAGTGAACTGTTACTGCCAAACAAGTGGCAAGTGTAAGAGACACAACGATTAGCACAGCAAAATAAACATATTATTAAAGTCAGCTTGTCAAATTAAGTTCATCTTTCCTTGAAATTTTTGCTCTTGTCCTTTATCATTTTTATTATCATAAAATTAATTGTAAACAGGTAAGCAAAAGAAGCATGTGAAATAAAACAATAAAAAGCTAGGCATAACATACAAACACGTCCACTTACAGCAAATGGTCTTTCACGCTATCGATCGTTATATCTCCAATAGAACTTAAGTCTTGACGATCGTCCTCTCCGTTCACATCATTGGTACTTGCTGCGGGTTGCAAAGACGATTCTTTCGGAGATTCTTCACCACCGGCTAAAATAGATGTATTCAAGAATAGGTACTAAAGGGTTAGGAGACAGCGTTCCTTGATGATGTTAATCAGCATAAAGTACAATTTAGCAGTTAGCTCGTTTAATAAATCACAAGTAATTATAGCAAAGCAACATTTAGATAAATACACGAGTTACTTGAGATATGCCAAGCGATTACGCATATTTAGTAGTAGCACGTTTAAACATCCTATGACAACATGTAACTTAATGATTACCCGATATATGTTAAATACAAATTAAAAAAACTTATGTAGGTGTTCGTGGTATACTCACTAGAACCCACCACACCATTCTCCATAATCATTCTTTGTACCGCATCTGGTTGACTTCCTTGCGTTGTATCACCTTCCGTTTCTGCTGTACCTTCGACCACACCTTGTTCTTGGGTTTCTTCGTTGTTAGTTTCCGGAAATGATCTAGCATTTGGTGGTAAATTTAATGCACAGTGCGCTTTTGTCACTTTACTAGCAGACAATGAAATTCGCTGCAGTTCCGAACTTGAATACAAATATAGGGCTTCGCCAGCTTTTGTGAATGTCAATGAAGAAATTCCACTAGAAAAACAAAGCAATATTCTCACAGATACACTCATATGATATA